AAAAAAAAAAAGCAGAGAAAAAAAAAAGAGCTGCATCAAAAGTCCTTATAAAATCATAATCTGGATCTGTTTCTCAGTGTGAACGGAGTCGGTTCTGCAGACTGTAGTTTGCAGCAGCACCGCGATGGTAGCAGGCCGGCCGCGGTGGCACGTCAACACCAGCCGAGCGTTTCTTCCATGAGAGCAGAGTAAAGCACGTTTTAGATCAGACGCAGTAACCGCGATGCTTTTGCCGCTCACCGGCCGCAGGGACGCGCAGTCGCCGCGCTCCAGGCTGTTCACTGTCAGCTGCGCGCCACGAGAAGCATGAACAACATATTCCCACAGCGTTTCCCACTGCAGTGAGGCTTTTGGTGTAATAAGGCTCGCTTTAATGTCATCTGTGCTCTTGATATTTCATATTTAAAGATAGAGAGCGTGCAGCACGACTGCCTTACACTGTTAAAAATACAAATGTAAACAATGTAGATGTTCCCACAAAGGTACAACAGTGGATTTAAGGTCTGATTGTGAACCTTAAATAAGTTTCTCCAGGTGAAAAGTTCGTATTTGTACCTTTTCATAACCGAATGTTTTAAAACAGAACAGTAAAATAAAAGCCTGGAGACGAGACGGGGTGTGTGGAGTCAGTACAGCTTAGAACATATCATTTCAGTGGATTATGGTTCAGTTATGTTCCCTGACTAAACGTACTGAGATGAACCTCTGAGGGTCCCACCCCAGTGACAAGAGAGGAACTGACCCAGTGACAGTTTCACACCTTTTGTTCTGAAAGTGTCTGCTGAAGTTAGCACTAAAGATATAGGCTTATTCTTCAGTGGAATATATATTTACTTTATTTATTTAACTTTTTATAGCAATTTATTAATAGATCTGTTTATATGTTTGTATTAGCTTTTTATATTGATCTCTGAGCTTCTTACATGTTTATTATGTAATTCAGAAAATATACATATTGCTCTTCACAGATTTGAGATATTAAAGAATTAAAAGGTCACGACTGTCTTCACTCTACACTCTTAAAAAAGGTGGTTCTTCAAGGGTTCTTTAGTAAAGAAAATGGTTCTGTATAGGACCATGAATGCTCAAAGAACCTTCTGCATGACTAATGGGCTCTTTGGATCATGAAATGGTTCTTCAGATTGATACAACATGTGCATGAATGTGCTACAGATGGTTCTGTATAGAACTGTTTTGAAAGGGGTTCTGTATAGCACTCAAAAGAGTTCTTCTATTGTTACAAGCTTGACTTAACAATAGAAGAACCCTTTTTGGTGCTATATAGATCCATTTTCAAAAATGGTTCTTTAGCACATTCTCCATTGATGGAGACAACATTTCTCCATCAATCTGAAGAACCATTTCATGATCCAAAGAACCCATTAGTCATGCAGAAGGTTCTTTGAGCATTCATGGTTCTATACAGAACCATTTTCTTTACCTAACAACCCTTGAAGAACCACCTTTTTTAAGAGTGTAAGCAAAAAATAGTGTGATTCCCATTTAATCAAGAATCGTGCAGCCCTAAAAATCAAGTTGAATTGTGCTGAATTGTGCTGAATTGAGTTGAACTGTCCCTCTTAGACTTTTTAAGACGACACTGACAGCTCTAAAGTGCACTTTCTGGAATAATGATTTCAATTTAAACTCAACCTGAAATCAAAATGGACCTTTTTATCTTATTACTTCATGTCCTTTTTCATATTAAACACAGTCCACTGCGTCACTTCATTAAAAAGACAAAACTCCTGCTTCTCTCTAATCTTTGGTCGACTGTAGTGACTCTGGCCCGCCTCAAACACAAAGCTGACAGCGTTCTGTTGCGTCACCGCGCACCAGCGGGCAAGAAAAATGATCCTGACGACAAATATCGTGTTCTCCCTCCCACCACCCTGAGCTGTCATCGAGAGAGAACACCAGTCATCACATACGTGTGACAGCAGACCACCTCCCTTCTTCTCATCGCTTCATTCTCTCACTTGCGGTTTAGGAACGGCTGTGAAACAATCACTTATGAGTCATTTCAGTTAATTTATGCAGCCAACCCGAGTTCAAGTTCACAAGAGTGAGGTATTTTGAATACGACAGTGTTTAAGCTGTTTTCTAAAGTTTTACACACACACATGCGTGCACACGCGCACATGCACACGCAGTCCATCTCCTGCTCACGTTAGGTTGTTACACTCGTACACAGGTTTATTTCATTAACAACGTCTTCTTTCCCTGAAGTCTTTTTTCACCTGCTTTTGCCATGAAAGTGCAATAAAAGCTCAAACCACGCAGATACTGCAGGGCTGGCCTGCTAAATGGTACACTGCCTCGTCTATATCTTAAATAGTAAAACAAATAAATAAATAAAACATGATTTCAACACATTATGAATCGGGTTTCAAAAACTACAGGAAGTGCACCATCAAGTGCTGTAGATCTTAATGTTTTGATCTTTTTTCCTGTCTGACTGAATGTTCGATTTGGAACTCAGCACTTTTCAAGACACAACCAGATCCTGAATAGTGTTGAACAATTTGGTGAAAATATCTAGTTGTGATTTTTCTAAATAATATTGTTGAGGGCAATTTTTTAATCGCAAAAGCTGCAATTTTTTAAGAAATTATAGCCTACATTATCAAAACCAGGGCCCTAAGTTTCATAAGGGATTTAAGAACACAGAATTTGAGAACTGTTTCAACATTCAATTTACAGAATCTAATCGCAATTTAAATCGCAATCAGATATTTTGTTCAAATCGCTCAGCCCTAAAACCAGAATCAAAAATCGAATTGAATTGTGGGCCGAATTTCACTAAACCAGCGCATCGAGGGAGAAAGTGATAGACGTTATTATGGAGGAGTGTTCACTGGTGTCCACCACGCTCTCTGATTAACTCACACCTGTTTGAAGTGAAAGGACACCTGAGAGGGGTTTCTGTGACGAATTAACCCTTTAGACGGGATGTCAATCAAACACGAACGCAAACAACAGAGGAAAACCTCAAACCTCAAACCTCAAAAGAAAAAAAGTGCAACCAAACCTTGAAGTTATTCACATCAATGGTTTAAAATAGGAGACAATCCAACAGAACACATCACCAACAAGGACTCAGTATGACAGACAGAAGATTCAATTCAGCTCTCAATTCTGATATTGATGAGTCTGACACTAAGCATTAACCATAGGTTAATTAACTGATCACTGACAGTGGTTTCCATGAAAGATGGCAAACAATAAGAGACCCTCAGAGGAGCCAGGGGCGCGTGGCGACACCATTTTCAATACTGAATATTGAAATTGTTACATTATTTATAGGAAATCACATTTACAAGAGAAGAATATTACATAATATTATATTACAAAACAATATAATAACTTATTCAGTTAAAAAAGTGAACTATAGTGCCACCTTTAGCAACAAAATAAACTTGATCCGGAGCTCTACAGTTGACATTTTGTTGTCTGCCAGTCAAGCATTTCATAAATAGAGAGATAAAATGAGGACTGTAAATATATTATTTTAGTTTGTTACATTTGGTGACTAAAAATATCAACTACAAACTGATTTTCATTTATTTTCTTTTCATAATTATCACAAATACAGCGAAATGATCATACAGTCCTATTTATATGAAAGACAGCAGAGCTGTGCAATATGACATTTTATCTTTTATCGTGACAATATAATTTCGTGAGCACATCATGGATGTCGTCAGCACTTAAAAACACTTCCCAACCGCCTGTTTGATTACAAACAGAGCCTAATTAGTCCGGTTTAAGTGGATTTAGCGCAGCGGTGTTAGAAATATTCAATACGAATCACTGCATTCAGCGTTTTTGACAGTCATTTTAAATGTGGCTCTACTTTGACTGTTCCAGCTTATCAGATATGAGAAAAAATAAATATGGGAAGACTTCATGTGTCGTGAAAACTTCTTTAAAGTATTGTGATATTACATTTTTGCAGTATTACATCGTCCACCACTAAGAGACACTACATCAGCTGTAATGACACCACACAGAATACGACAACTTTGCCAAATGTGATTCAGTTCGGAGTTCAAATATTGTCTTAGGCAAATAACTAACTTGTCTTGAACAAAAACCAAAGCAAACACAGTGAAGATTTCAGCTGTAACTTTCAACAACAAGAGTTTTGTGCTGGCCAAACAGATGACATAACTAATAGGGAGTCATGGAGGAAGTAAGCTGACAAAAAAAGTTTGAACGCTGGAGTCTCTCTGAGAGCTGGGGATCAGGGGAATGTGGGAAGTGTAGTCTAAACCAACATATTTTTAAAAAAAACAACTGTTTAAATAAATTGTGTACATCATGAGACGAAAACTGAGAGGGAAGAACCTCTGAACCGACCAGGAAAATGAATAAATACATACATAAATAAATATATATTAGGACAGCTTATAGAAGATTTGTGTCCAGACAGCAGACACACCCTCTGTGTACAACTGAGGACCAAATCTGAGCAAGACAAACGCTTCAAAACCAGCAGAATGAATGAGCAGAAAATACATATTCAGAGCAGCTCAGATCAGCAGCACAATCCACATGAAGGTGGTAACCAGCTCTCTCTCTCTCTCTCTCTCCTGATCACTTTCCCAACCATGTTTCCTCTCCCTGTTCTCTCTCTCTCATATATATTCTCTTTAATCTCTCTCTTTGCTTTCTTTCCTCTTCTATTTCTCTTCCCTCTTCTCTCTCTCCGTCTCATATTCCCTATAATCTCTCGCTTTTTCTCTTTCTAGTTTCCTTCTGTTTCTTTCTCTCTCACACACTCTCTACCGTGTTCCTCTCCCTGCTCTCTCTCTCTACCATGTTTCCTCTCCCTGCTCTCTCTCCCTCTCTCTCCATGTTTCCTCTCCCTGTTCCCTGATCTCTCTCTCTCTCTCCCTCTGTTCTCCTGCTCTCCCACGACAAAGCCGAGCTCAGGCTGGGACCACATGCCACATTTTCTACAATAAAAGAAAAACCCAATAAAAACCCAAACTCACCTGAACATAGTTGTTCTCGCAGTAGTCCGCGACCCTGGTCAGGTTCTGGTAACTCTCCAGAAGGGCTCGCTTACCCGCCGGGATCTCTTCCTCTAACAACATTTGCAGCTCTGCCATCTTACATGTGTCCGCATAGCTCCGTCTCCTTCCCTCTGATTACAGCCACAGGCTCGGCCCTGAAAAAACAGAGAGAGAGAGTAGGGGAGGGGGGTGAGAGGGAGGGGGGTGAGAGGGAGGGAGGGAGGCAGGGAGGCAGGCCTTTTCATTTCCAGCACGACCTACCAAACTCAAAGCACGGAAAAAAAGAACTACAAAAAAGGGATTTGCGGCAGCGAGAAGCGCCGAACAGAAATGCTGGGAAATGTAGTTTAACAGCGCCTCTTTGAATCCATTACTTCACATGTAGTAAGACGTAAATTTGTTTGTCTTTAATCACGACAAGGCTGGTAACAGATTTGTGCTCAAATTCAGTTCTTATTTCTCTACAAAATGATCGTTTTGTGGATCGCTGAAATGAAGTAATGCGTACGGGACTACATTCCCTAGCGACAGGTTCCGCGCGCGTTGCACTGTGGGAGTTGACGTTTTTGCGGTCGGAGGGCGTGAACGTTCGCCCGAGTGCGGAACTACAACTCCCAGCCTTACACGCTCGTATGGCTGCTGTCAGCTTTGTGTTTGAGAGGTCGCCGTCTGGATCGCAAGCACCAAACAAATGGTGAGGGATTAAGTTATCGTAACAGTCTGAAAATAATAGCTTACAGGGCGTTTCGGGATTTATTTCTTTACCTTGTTGCTCGTCATGATGTTTGTGTGGTCGCTCTTCGGCCTCATCAGTGGACTGTCATTGGCTTCGTCGACGGTTGACATTAACGTTTAACGTCAACATTAACGGCTGAATTATGAGGACGCTGTAAAACGTAAATCTACTTTTCAGCCAAAATGATGATTTAACACCTCCTCGGTTTCGGTTTTGTGGGCTAGCCGGCTCGACAGCATAGCTATCCTGCAGGCAAACGTGTTCTACACGAAGATGAAACCTCTTCTCTGCGTGCTTCTCCTTGTTGGCAATTTCCCGTTCCACCTTAAATGGTGCGGCAGTTACGTTCTGGCGCTTGAGTGTAGAGTGGAGCTGCTGTACCATTTAAGGTGGAACGGGAACATGCGAGCGAGAAGCTAGGCGAATAGGAACCAGACTTCAGCCTCGTCATGTTCTAGCTTTCGCAAACTTGGTGGCAGGCTGTTTTACCCTATTCTCTTATAAAATATGGTTCTTCAGGGGTTCTTTAGTAACAGCAATGGTTCTTTGCATGGTGAAATGGTTCTTTAGATTGATGGAGAATGTGTTGCATATGGTTCTATATAGAACCTGTGTGAAAATGGTTCTATATAGCACCAAAAAGCTTTTTCTATCATGGTATCAAGCTTGTAAGGATAGCAGAACCCTTTTTGCTGATAAATAGAACCATTTTCACATATACAATAAATTTGCCATCGATTTAAGCATGGAAATGGTTCTAAAAATGCCCATTCCCTGTGCTAAAGAACCCTTGAAGAGCCATGTTTTTAAGAGTGATATCTTTCTCTACGTTGATGGCAAGTTGTTTTACCCCACATTTAACTTTTACCATTTCTCTTAGGTTTGATTTGATGATCTGTTGACTTTTGGGCCAAGCTACAGTCATGATGGAGCTCGACACCAAACCCATCCAAGAGCAAAGGTTCGATGCTGCAGTCAAAGTGATACAGAGTTTACCTACAAACGGTGAGTAAGCCACTGTTACCTGGTGCACCATAATCCTACATTAACCTACATAGAGCTCTGCAAAGGAACAACAGTGCTTCAGGCTGGCTGAACGTTTCCTGTTTGCTTTGAATGACAGAAATCCTCCAAAACATTGTAGCTCAAGACTTTTGGCAGTTTGATATTCCAAAAGAAATTGTGGTGTTATGTTTATTTATGCATCCCTACACGTACTACATGATTAATGTACATGTGGACAGAGACTAATTGCCAGAAAACAGCTCCTGCTTGCACAACCAAAAGTAGCCCTGATCCGTGACAATAGAGTTGGTCCTGTCAACATTATTGGTAGCAGATTAATTGCTGTGCACCTACATGTGAGAAGTGTTAGAATAGAAAGTGTAATTTTAGGTCCTGATTTCAAATATTATGTAGTAGATCATTTTTCTAATCATGGCTCCCTTAAATGGGTTACAGGTCTTGTTTGTTAAAGGGGAATTCTGCTGTTTTTGTTAGTTTGTTTTCCCACAAAATCCCACCAGATTCACTGATTGAGATGTAAACAGTCGTTCAGAGTGGTTTGATGTGAAATGGTTAATTGTAGAGAAACATAGTAACTCCGTCTTTACAGTGGTGGTGATAGGAACCAGGGGTCACAATGTCAACACAAATATAGGCATTTTATTTACTATCCAAAACCAGCAGTGAACCCACACGAGTCTTCTGAGTTTGTATATGTAATGTGCATATGGTGATGATGGTAAACTAGTGGTAAATCTGAAAAAAAAGTTTTATTTGAGACAATTTTGCCTCACAACGCTCTGCATGTACCCCTCCGCCATGAATGGATATATATCACTGTTCAGAAGAAAACCTTGTATCTCCATTTTTGATGTTTATCAGTTTTTGACATAAATTGAAAATACCTGTTACCTTTTATATTGTGTGTAAATTTCATGATGAATGGACTAAAGCAAACGACCCAAAATGACTTGGAAAAAAGTCGGGTTCCATTGACTCACATTAAAAGTAAAGGTTTTTTTTTTTCCTCTCCTGTAAAGTTTTTTAAATGGGTTTTGTTCCAAAAACAGCTAACAGCAGTATGTGTATGTATATATATATATAACCTTCTAAACCTATCAAAAGACATCCGACAGTGTATTTTCCACCACTTCTTCCAATAACTTTACTTTCTGTGAGGGAACATTTAGAGGCATTAAACTCTTCTGGTTCCTAGAACAGAGCGTTTCACACCAAACCACTCTGAATGACTTTGTTAACATCTTAACCATTTAATTGTGTAGAAATTCCTCTTTAAAATGCTATAATAAATTAAAATCATACTGCTTTGTCTCACATTGCAGGTTCATTCCAGCCATCCAACGAAATGATGTTGAAATTCTACAGCTACTACAAGCAGGTGACTCAAGGCCCTTGCAACATTCCCCGGCCAGGTTTTTGGGATCCAGTCGGCAAAGCAAAATGGTACTGGACTTGATTTCTGGATTTCTTTGTTTTGTAGCACTTATTTGCCTTTGTCGTTTGTCTCTGTATCAGTTATTGGTCCTCGCTTTATTGTAAGTTGTAAATTGTGCAGGCTGAAACATATTACACTGGATTTCACCTCTGACATACAGAGAATCAACCAAACATGGGAAGAGGGTTGAAAGGTCACTGATATAGATAACTGAAGTTGGTTAGAGGTTCACATTTACACTAAACTGACATTGAACAATAACTGTTCAGTGATTTGTAACATTCCTATGCACGGACACAGCAGAGGAAAATATTTTGTTTGGCCGTGCAGCTGTCCTTGTTCGAGTTCTCAGAAAGCTATTGGCACGGCGACCTTTATCAGCATGACACTCAGAGTTTGAGTCACACTGTGATGTTTTGCACACTGTAGCTTTTAGTTTTTATCCACAGCCTGAAAATAAAAACATCTGAATGTCCTTGAAATATGCTTACAGATGACCCGATTGCTCCTAGAGTTGCAGCTGCTCGTTGTAACCTGACAAGACATCGGAAATGAAGAGCAGCTTAGCAGCGCAAAAGTCTTCAATAACCATATTTTTTCTGTGTTCATTTTTAGGGATGCGTGGCACTCACTTGGAGATATGCCAAGGGAGGAGGCTATGACAGCATACGTGGACGATCTGAAGCTGGTAACTGTCCGTGTTTAAAACTGTTGAAAATTGCTCATCACACATTTATTAGGGTGAAACGATTCAAAATTGCCTTTTAGTTAACAATCACAAATAGTTTGGACTTTTCTATTATTTTTACACTCACTTTCTAAAGAATAACATTTATTTAGCAAAAGACTGAATAATTAGACTCAGAGTAAGAGTATATTGACAGGTACAGGTACATTACATTAAAAAAAGAGGGTCTCTTGTATTTGTCTTGCATTATGTTCTGTTCCTTGAGATCTATTTATGACGTTTGCATAGTTTTAAATACAAAAAACAGTATTTTTTTTTAATTATGACCATTTTTCACCCTCTTTTTATCCCTTACAATTAAACATTCTGTTTTTTTGTTACTGTACCTTTAAGACTGATTTGTGAATGATCTCTGTTCTGATTGGCTGCTCTGTATGGTGCCTCATTGAGCAAGCGGTCCAGTGTGAAAAACAACTTACAAGTTCAGTGCTGCAAATAATACCCAGTTAAGTCATCAGTTAGATCCTCAACCAACAGTGAACAGATTTTAATTAAACCTATAGAGAAAGGACTTTTATTCTGTTTGAAAGGTTTGTTGAAATTTAATAATGATAAAAAAAGGTTCAGTTTTCAGCTACCTTAGACAGAGGCATTTGTACTGGGCTGGTCTCGAGAACAATTTCCACGTCCACGTTATTCTGAGACCAAAAGAGGACAGAGATTGTTAATTTACGCTCTCGAGACCAGTCTTGAGTTCTACAGCACTAATAATGACAATAGTAATAATAATAAAGTCCTGACCATCGGATAATACCAAGACCCAAGGAATTCAGTGGATTCCTGGTTAGAAGCATCCAGCAAATTCTGAGAAAATAAAGTGTGGTAATAATAATAATAATAATAATAATAATAGTATAGTTAGTCAAATATTCAAATATATAAAAATTTTAAATGCATATTCTTTTAAAAACAACATCAAATTAGAGAGAAAATAAATAGTAAATGCAGTAAATGTTGTTGTTTAAATCAGTGATTGTCAGCCTGGGGATCAAGACTCGTGAGATGGCCATAAAAAACAGAGACCAGCTGTGAAGTATGTTTGAGAGTGACTTAGTAGCTCTGTAGCACAGCTCATAAATAAGCATATCACTTTCTTCAGAATGACCAGGTTGCTAAAAAGTTGTCGGATGTTTGAAAGTACATGCTTGCAAATGATGGCATGTTCTTCCCTCCATTTGGTAGCTGTCACACATGATAACATTACTAACTAACTGGTCTGGAACATACTAGGACCCACATTAGAGGTTGCTTTAAACATTCTAATTTATTTTCTCATTGGATTCAATGATTATTGGATTGTCAAATATTATTTTGACATAAGAACTATGCTGTGCCCTAGATAAAAACATAGTCATATCCAGCTCTCTTACTCTAGTCGTGGACACTGAGCAGTTCTTTTCCCACACTAAATCAGCCTCTTGTCCATCTGTTTTTAATTGAAAATGGCGTTTGTAGCTGCATTTGATTAGTTTTTTTCTGATGCTGGAACTGAATTACTTTGTTAATGAAGAGAAAAAGCATGGAGACTAAATCATGGTCCCATCTCTGCTTTTGGAGGTTGACATCAAACACAAATTTGATTCAAAATGTTGCATCACTAAGCGTTTGTCATTAGGTTGGCATGATGTTCAGATACTTGAAGTCTTTTCTTTTTTCCTTTTTTTTATGTTCAGATTCTTGAAAGCATGCCGATGACAGATGAGGTGGAGCAGCTGCTGCAGGTTCTCGGGCCGTTCTACGAGCTTGTGGATGAGAAGAAAAAGATCTCTGAAGTGTCGGATCTGACCACAGGTGAGGATCCTAACACTGGGAATGGGATGCCAGAATAAAAATCTAAGCAGCTCGATAGCTTCGTGGTTTTATTTTGTGATCTACAAGAATGTGAGGATGTACAGTCGTATGTAAATGCTTTAACAACCCCGGTCAAATGACAAGTTTTGTTGATTTGCTAAGTGAATTAAGTCAAAACAGTTTAAAACTCTAAAAAAAATCTGATGTGCACTTTATACTAGTGCTGTCAGTGAGGTTGACTATCTCTATTACCCTTATTTTACCAATCAAATGACTTCAGTACTACCAACTGTCAAAATATTTTGTCGTTTAAAGACCCAGGGAACCTAAAATTATGCTTTCTTTCTAATGAGGTTAATTTTGTTCTTGCAGGCAAACAGTGAACAGGTACTAAGTAAACCTAATGACCAATAAATGACCAATATATTTCACCATATTTCTCTCCTCTCGATGTAAACTGGGCAGTCCTAATCTTGGGAAACGCTTCCGTAAGCCTTCCCCTGACCAATCACAAGGCTGACCTCTCTTGACCCACCCACACAAAACAAAGTTAACCTAGAATAACCAAATGCTAGCGAGTTAGAAGACCTGTCTGTAGCTGCCTGTCGCCCATTCACTCGTTTATCCATACACGAAGTGTTCTTTCGACCGTTCATTCATTCACACGTTGCTTCGTCAGTCCGTCCATCCATCCATCCACCCATCTGTCTATTCGTCCAGTTTCCGTCACATAAAAGCTGGATAATGATTTTAGTTCTGTATGAGGGATGGAGCAGCTCATTAGCCACGCCCACACCGTTCTCAGATAAGTCTGATCAGTGTTTTTTAAGCTGTTTTTTTTTTTTATCATATTTATATCTTATATTTTTCATTAAAGCTTTACTGAATGTTCAGTATAACACTCAAGTTTAGTATCATCCAAACATTCTCAGTATTTTCCTCTGTGTTTCCTGGGACTTTAATACCAACAATCATTACATAATTAGTCAGTCTTAGAAGCTGTGAGCCTGTAAGTTTCAGAATCTCATTGTCTGTCTAAATTACATTCTGTAAGAATGTTATTAACATCAGCACTTGAATAGTCCAATAGCTCACACTCATTTCGTCTTTAATCCACACGAACTTGTGATTTAGAAGAAGGAATTGGACAAAAAAGCATTGTTCAGAAATTGGTATCAAAATCAGGGTATCATGATTTGTTTAAGGCTATAAATGATTGACCGATTAACCGTTAACAGACAAATAAACACCAGTGCTATCAGGAAAAAAAATGTAATTTAATTTTTTCATTCATTTCCAACAAACAAGAGTTCATATTTGAATAGGTGGGTTTATCATTATAGTTGAGGGCGAAATATACAATTTGTTCTACTGGGTAGAAATTGTAATAGTGGTCATATAATCATGAACATATTGTCGCTCTAGAATAATAACTTTACAGGAGAAGGAAAAACTCTTCTAAACTTTGAATGGAAGATAATGGAACATTTTTTTCAAGTAACTTCAGAGCATTTCTGATGCTCCATTCGTGACATTTCAACACAATATGAAGGACAGCTGGCATTTTTAAATTATGTAAAAAAAAATAAACAAATAAAAATGGAGATACAAGATTTTGTTCCAACAGCAGCAATATTATAGTTGTCCGTCCTTATGCTTTGAATGACTGTTTTCTGTGGCTTCGAATATGGCTCAGCCAATCAGATTTCAGAACCAGACTTCTCAGTTATCAGTCAAAATAATTTGCCAAAATTTGCATGCTAGTATTGGAATCAAAATATTTTTACTGATAATAAACGCTGGCTGCCACTATTTGTGATTTTTAGTAATCAAGTACTTTACTGATTATTTCAATGATTAATGAAATAAACAGAGGTTTTAAAAAGGTCCAAACAAAAAAAAAGATTAAACTAAACTAAAAAAACATACATACACTATAAATAACTATAAATAGTTTGTCATATAAATCTAAAAAAAAATACTTAATGTGGTAACAAGCAAACAAACTAGTTTTATTCAACTCAGATTAATACTTCAAAAGAACTGCTGTTTCAGTCAATTTAATTTAGTCTAGTTGAATAAAAGCAGCTTAGTTGCTTGTGACACTGTGGCAAAAATACATATAAATGAGTCTGTCCATCAGGTTCTGTTTCTTACTGTAAGTATGTAAGTAAGAGACTAGTATGAAAATTTTAAATATATATTGTCATTGAGAAAATTGCCAAATAATCACTGCCTGTTCACTGAAATGGTAAATTGTCTTGTTTCTTTTTTTTTAATCAAGAAATCATGATATTTCTACTTTAGAGTTGTTCCTGCTGTCAGTTATTGATTTGCACTTTATACTCTAACTGTGCTCATCTGTAAACAGCCCTTTGTTATCATAATGGGTAACCTTTTCCTCATTTTATCATTTTAACTTTTGGTGCTCAGCCCGATTGGAAAGGTTTGCTAAGCAACTTGAAGGCAAGTGTACTGTGGTATTTTCACCCCTGATTCCTGCTCCTAGTTATGAATGTAGTGGAGTAGGTTAGACTGTAGTGGTTGTTTCAGAATCCCTGCTGCACTTGCATTGCTGGTGTCTATTTTCGCTTATGCTTAGACTGCTGGAGTCCCATGAAGGCTTTTGTGTCAGTGCCAGCGCATTAATATTAGACTAGATTTTACAGAACAGTGAAGCCTTTATTTATATAAGTGTGTATTGTGACTTTCTGTAGGTTTTGGAAACATGATCGCTGCACCTTCAAAGAGCGTCACAAAAAGCATCATCAGAACAATGGAAATGAACGGGACCTTAGACGGCCATCCTACCAAAAAAGGGGACGCCCCGAAGAACAACATGAAAGAGATCAAGGAACAGGAGGACAGAGGTGATGAAGATGAGAAGGAGGAGGAGGAAGATGACAGTGATGATGATGATGAGGAGGAGGAGGAGGATGAGGAGGAGGAAGAGGCTGAGCAGGTGAAAAAAGGTAAAATGTCCTGCATGAATGAACACTCCTGGCATTGAAGACAAAGCAGAAATATGAATGTGATACAAATAGAATCTGTTATTATTTAAAACAAGTTAAATATGCAGAAAATACACATTTTGCAAGAACACGTGTCCTTTGTGTTTTCAGCCCCAGCACCAAAGAAAAAGGCCTCAAATGGAAAAGCTAAAGGGCTCCCCAACGGCACTATAGGGCAGAAGGTAGAAGCCATGACAAACGGAACACACAGCTCCAGATCTGCTCTGAATGGAAAGCACTCGGAGGAGGAGGATGATGGCGTCACCCAAGAAACAGTGATCCAACATGTGAACGGTTTTACCAAAGGTAAGATTTTTACACAAGATTTAACATATCCTCTACAGAGAACCGACGTCTGCGCATTTCAACTCACAATTACTTCCCTCCTGTCTAAAATAAAATGATTGATCAACGCTTTTGGTTTTGCTCCCAGTTTTGCAGCAGTTTGATTTTTAAAAACCCAGGATTTTTTATTAGAAATGTGTCGCACTTCTACAGGCAAATGTTGGTCACACCAGATACTAATGTGGGAATTCTGTTTCACAACCCACCCTGTTTTTGTTTTTTTTAGTTTGTTTTGTTTTTTTTCCCCCCTAAAGTTTTTTTTTGATCAGTATATTATCAGTATTCTATCAACCTGGTTGAAAGTCAAACACTTTTTGAACTTTTTTAACTGAATTGGGAGAGGCCTTGTGAAAGCCCAGATCTGCATCCCACTGAAATGCTGTGGGGAGGGGGATTTTAAACCCCTCAAACACTGCACAGTTGAAAGAATTCTGCATGAATAGACACAAAATTCTCCTAGCAGATGTCAGAAACTGGTAGACAGTTAGGAAATGCCTAATTCCACTGAATTATTTAGCATTGAGTGATGCTCCATCTCAATTATTTGTATTTTATTAAAATAAATGATTGAACATTCAGTTTGTCACTACCGACATAATCATAACACTACTGAAACTTTACCAAATGTTTCAGTAGTGACTGTGTCAGTAGTGACAATTTTAGCTCATTTTCAGCAGAACTCAAAAACAGTAGCCAGTGCATGACTCGCAAACACAGTGATTATACACAAAAAATATCATATTTTTGAGCAAAACACAAAAAATGACGTTATTGTTATAATAATGTTTTGGTAGTGACAGTTCTTGAATGTCCCACACTGATTTTCAGACTTTGGACCACATTTACTTCAAAACAATGGGATCTAACGGCTCACCATGTGGTCATGGGGGACAGGGATGCAGTCTCACTCAAATGTAGCTCTAACTACTGGCTAATATAAGGACTTGTATTTCGGTAGTGACATGAAAATGTGGGACGGCACTTTTTTAAAATAGTTATTTTATCGAAAAATTTTCATTCACTACCAAATTTCAATACAGTCAGTCTTAACAACATCCACTAGCCAATAAGCATGCTTGTTCCAAAATCTAGACTGCTAGATCAGTGCTGCTTGATTAGATGACCATTACAGACAGTAAATACCCACTTCCAGTATCCACTTTTCGTCACTTATTTCCTTATTTGTCTTATATTTAAGGCACATTCACTTTTGATGTGTAATTTAAAAGAAGGTATCAGAAAATGTGCTGTTCAGCTAATCGATTAATCTAAGTCATAATAGACCAACTAATTGATTATGAAAATAGTCCTATTTTGTGCAGCTCTGTTTATAAGATTTTTGGAACGTTGATTTGTCTACTTCGGTTCTGTTTTGCTTCAGTAAGAGACTGAAGTGAGATGAATAAAGTGTAAATTTAACAGATAAAACAAAGTTTTATTTTGGATGAATTACCTGCATAAATTGCAATATGTGGTATACACAAGTTTTTTAATATCAGAATAGAATCATATCATGGCTCAAGTACCCCTACTGTGTTCACAGACTTATTTTCACTTATATATACTGATCAGGCATAACATTATGACCACCTCCTTGTTTCTATGCTCATTGTCCATTTTATCAGCTCCACTTACTATATAGGTGGACTTTGTAGTTCTACAGTTACAGACTGTAGTCCATCTGTTTCTCTGCAGACTTTGTTAGCCCCCTTTTACCCTGTTCTTCAGTAGTCAGGACCCCCATGGACCCTCACAGAGCAGGTACTATTTGGGTGGTGGATCATTCTCAGCACTGCAGTAACACTGACGTGGTGGTTGTGTGTTGCGCTGGTGTGAGTGGATCAGACACAGCAGTGCTGCTGGAGTTTTTAAACACCTCAGTGTCACTGCTGGACTGAGAATAGTCCACCAACCAAAAATATCCAGCCAATAGCGTCCTGTGGGCAGCGTCCTGTGACCACTGATGAAGGACTAGAGGATGACGAACAAAAACTGTGCAGCAGCAGATGAGCTATCGTATCTGACTTTACATCTACAAGGTGGATTGACAAGGTATGAGTGTCTAATAGAGTGGACAGTGAGTGGACACAGTGTTTAAAAACTCCAGCAGCCCTGCTGTATCTGATCCACTCATGCCAGCACAACACACACTAACACACCACCACCACATCAGTGTTACTGCAGTGCTGAGAATGATCCACCACCCAAATAGTGCCTGCTCTGTGAGGGTCCATGGGGGTCCTGACCACTGAAGAACAGGGTAAAAGGGGGCTAACAAAGTCAGCAGAGAAACAGATGGACTACAGTCTGTAACTGTAGAACTACAAAGTGCACCTATATAGTAAGTGGAGCTGATAAAATGGACAGTGAGTGTAGAAACAAGGAGGTGGTCATAATGTTATGCCTGATCGGTGTATATAAATTTTGTATTAAAGAAATAAGCTAAATTTCATTATGCTGTTCATAGATGACTATGAAGATGTGTCCAGCCTCCATCATGTGGCCAGCGACTCAGACGGTGAAGTGTACTGTGACTCAGTGGACCAGTTCGGTGTGGAGGAGGTAAGATCTAGTTAGCCACAGTGAAAATGTACTGAATCCAGGCTCATTACATTTCCTGCATGATCCAGCCCAGTCATTTGAGTGGTGTGAATACTGAATCATCCCCAGTGTGCTAAAATTAGCTTGTTTATTAGCATTGTCAGCTTGCTTCTATGTCTGTAAGGCAGAGCAGTGAGGCTCATGTGAACTCTCTGTAGGAAAGCCAGGGTAGGCTGTCCTCCCTGAGAGAGCCGCAGCCAACGGGGAGGGACCTCAAGGACCTCCCAGGGGTTCAGGACAGCGTCCAGCATGGCGGAGAGGATTGGAAAACTAGCGGAGGTGGACCACAGAGACAGAGGCTTAGCGTGGACAGACCAGGCAGCTCTGTGGTCAGGAGAGGAAGAGGTACAACCTGACTGTAAAAAACAGTTTAACCCTAAAAAGAGTAGTTACTGTTGTTTTGTTATGCATTCAATTTACATCATTTTAATATGATTTCATAATTAAGTGCCTTGCTTCCATAACAAATTAAATACATGATGAATGAAATCAGAAGGCAGCACTTCTGATTCTTTCTTCATGTCTTTTGATGACAAAAATAGCCCAAATGTTTAGTATTTAGTATTTCTTTCCAGAAAATATGACAACAGCAGCTTTTTATCAAATTCAAATGATAATAAAATATCTCCTCTTCTACTTACAAACACAAATGTGATACAGATTGAAAGCTAAGAATCTGCCTTTTCACCTGAAATCCTCGTTTCATTAAACTACGAGTGAGAAATAATTAACACCCTGTTTTTGTTAGTGAAGTACTGGAGTTCGGGATTGGTGGGGAAAATACAAGCACTGCAGTGTCATTAAGGGAATGAGATCAGTCTGTAATGTTTTAATTACAGAGCTCTCTATTGGCATGCACATAGTTATGTGAAGAAGAAAGTGCACCCGTGTAATATTTCTCTTTTTGATATCAGTATTTGATGTTCAGTTAAACAAGATGTATAGATAAATGTTATGTAATAGAACAAAAAATGAAAATTTGACTTTGCAGTCATTTATTTAACAAAATGAATAACTGAGATTTTTTTGTTTTTGTCTGTTGAAAAAGTAATTACACCCCTGGCTTCGGTAACTGGTACTGCCCTCTTTGGCAGACCAACTTTATGTAGGCATTTCCTAACTGTCTACCAGTTTTTGACATCTACTAGGAGAATTTTGTGTCTATTCCTTCATGCAGAATTCTTTCAACTGTGCAGTGTTTGAGGGGTTTAAACCCGAAATCCAAAAACATTTGTTGCTTCAATTAAATTTAAGCACAACAGAAGCTGTTGTGAAATTCTCAGTATTGAAAAGTATCAGTATGTTATTTAAAAGAATTATGTTGCTTGACAACTATAGCCAAGTGTTAATGAATTACATTGCTTAGAAAAAGAACTGTTTATTGTGATTTGTTAATAATAAATTATTATTATTATTGAACATTAGTGTATTCTGTCATCTTGCATGTAGGCACTCAAGGTCATACGTTAGAGTGATGACAGTTAGGTTTTCTTTTTTTGGCATTCTGCCTAATAACACACCTGGTGAATGTATTGTTTTATTCAAACTGTGACTGTTTTAGTCCGGCTGTTCCTTAAGAGCCTGTTTACACCTTGCCTTTAAGGTGTGTTTTTTTAGTGATCAGATCTTGTTGGAATCAGGCCAGAGTTTATCAAAATACAATTCAAAACCATGCAAGTTGTAAATAGGCTCTAAATGTTTTTGCCTGTATTTTAGGCTCCAGGTCTCCAGGCTCGGGGTTCGGCACCACGGGGCCATTACAGGGCGGGGGTGGTGATGGAGAACGGTGGGGGACTGATGGAGCTGTGGGTGGAGATCTTAATGAGCAGATCGTAACGGCACTGGCGCGACTTCAGGAGGACATGCAGAGTGTCCTCGAGAGACTGCACACACTCGAGGCTCTCACAGCCTCCCAGGTGAGAAAACAACAAAACTGTTGCAAACTGCATTGAACACTATTATTCTGTAAGCCATTAATACATTTTACATACAGTGAGCACCATAAATATTAGGACGTTGACTTTTTTGTTGTGGCTGCTAGTAGGGCTGGGCAATATGGCCAAAAATGTTATCACGATAAAAAATTCCATACCGATATCGATACGTATCGTGACAAATGTCTAGTCATTATTTCTTTCAAGTTTGACAGCTGATTTTTGCTCCCAAGTGGTCAGTTGCTGTTTTATACTATCCTTTATGGTCAGAACATTTCAGAAATCTGTCATGGGATAGTGGGAGAAAGTTTCTGGTTAGCTGTTTTTACCCATGCGCCCTCTCGTAGATTAGTGTCGCTTTCCTTGCAGTAGAAAACACCACCAGGGCTGTCGCTAGAACACAGAAGTGTGAGAATGGTCTATCATATCAAACATTTATCAAACATTTCTTATATTACTTTTGAGGAAAGTTATATCACGATAATTATCGTTATCGTTTTATCGCCCAACCCTAGCTACTGAATATATGGAAGTTAGAAGGCAGACTGTCAGCTTTAATTGAAAAACAGTCATGCACATCTGGTGTCTTAAAAATTAGAACAGATTTTGTAGAAATTTTGCATGCAGGTCAAACTTTGTCCCAGTACAAATCATTTAACCGTTCTGTACTTGTTGCTCTTCCCAGGCAAGATCTGCAGCCTTGCCTTCAGAATACCTGTTACCACCAGCAAACAGAACTCAGAAGGTATGTTGGGTAACTTTCTAGAGGTTAGTTTGCTATTTGTTTGCTTTTGACCCAGTGTAGGCTGAACTTTGGTACTTAAAACTGAGTCAGGTTTTATGCCCCAGCGCTCAGTGATAAACTGGAATTGCTTTAGTCAGTGGACATCATAGTCCAGGTGTGGATAACTGACTGATAAACATTGGTAAATATACAAATATACCACCTATCATTTATTTAATTCACTGTAAAAACAGCCATTATTTACAAGTAAGTGATTTTTAGGATGTGTGTCTGAGGAGATTAGATATAGGATAATCTGCTTGCATAATGAAGGAGAACGTTAAAGAAATTTAACAAGTGAATAAAAGATGCAGAGAAAATTAGACTCCAAACAACCATGTAGACAAGCAAAACTGTCCCCATCAGGCTGCTGGTGTTCTCAGAACAATAGACTGACCACCCCAGAGTCCAGACCTCAACAACAAACATCACTGAGTGTGTTTGGATTGTTTTGATAGTGAGAAGCAGAAAATGCAAAACCAGCTTCTAAGACTGAACTTTGGAGGTGTGGAAAAATATCCTGCAGAAAAACTGAAAGTGAGTCTCCTCTAAATAACGGAAGCTGTAATAGAGGCAAAGAGAATTATTAATATATATATTTAGTTGTTGAGACTTTGTGTAATTTTCTGTAAAATATGTTTTCTGATTTTGTATCCCGCCACTCAAAAACTGAATAACTTGTACTTAATGGCTGTTTTGACTGGAAATGAAATACGGGAAGGGTGGTCTTTGATTTTTACACAATATTGTAATTATTATGTATTTCACTCCTTTTCATCTGTCACAGAGAAATGATACGTAAGACCTCTGACATGGTGTTTATGCATTCTGTGCAGAAGCCATCCTGGTGGCCTTTCGACGTGTCTCCTGGCACAGTGGCCTTTGCTGTTGTTTGGCCCTTTGTGGTGCAGTGGCTCATTCGCCTGTATTTTCAGCGGCGGAGAAGGTAACAACACACAAACTCTCACATTCTTATTAATGTTTAATCACCTCAGGAGTGCTGCTGTTTTTAAAATTAAAATCAATGCTTTTAAATTCCCTCAACAAAGGAAAAAACAATACCTTTTCAACTGCACAACAGCTCACACACACAAACTAGCACATTAGCGAGTTAGTGAGTGAGTGAGTTAGTGAGTGAGTTAGTGAGTGAGTTAGTGAGCGAGTTAGTGAGTGTTTGTTAGTAAGTGAGAGTTATTTAATGTGTTTGTTAGTGAGTTAGTTAGTAAGTTAGTGAGTGAGTGAGTTATTTAGTTAGTAAGTTAGTGAGTGAGTGAGTGAGTTATTTAATGAGTTAGTGAGTTATTTAGTGAGTAAGTTAGTGAATGAGTTATTTAGTGTGTTTGTAAGTTAGTGAATGAGTTATTTAGTGAGTTAGTAAGTTAGTGAGTGAGTGAGTTATTTAGTGAGTTAGTTAGTAAGTTAGTGAGTTATTTAGTGTGTTTGTTATTAAGTTAGTGAGTGAGTTATTTAGTGAGTTAGTTAATAAGTTAGTGAGTTATTTAGTGTGTTTGTTATTAAGTTAGTGAGTGAGTTATTTAGTGAGTTTGTTAGTAAGTTAGTGAGTGAGTTATTTAGTGTGTTTGTTATTAAGTTAGTGAGTGAGTTATTTAGTGTGTTTGTTAGTAAGTTAGTGAGTGAGTGAGTTATTTAGTGAGTTTGTTATTAAGTTAGTGAGTGAGTTATTTAGTGTGTTTGTTATTAAGTTAGTGAGTGAGTTATTTAGTGTGTTTGTTAGTAAGTTAGTGAGTGAGTTATTTAGTGTGTTTGTTAGTAAGTTAGTGAGTGAGTTATTTAGTGTGTTTAAGTTAGTGAGTGAGTTATTTAGTGTGTTTGTTATTAAGTTAGTGAGTGAGTTATTTAGTGTGTTTGTTATTAAGTTAGTGAGTGAGTTATTTAGTGAGTTTGTTAGTAAGTTAGTGAGTGAGTTATTTAGTGAGTTTGTTATTAAGTTAGTGAGTGAGTTATTTAGTGAGTTTGTTATTAAGTTAGTGAGTGAGTTATTTAGTGAGTTTGTTATTAAGTTAGTGAGTGAGTTATTTAGTGTGTTTGTTAGTAAGTTAGTGAGTGAGTTATTTAGTGAGTTAGTTATTAAGTTAGTGAGTGAGTTATTTAGTGAGTTTGTTATTAAGTTAGTGAGTGAGTTATTTAGTGAGTTTGTTATTAAGTTAGTGAGTGAGTTATTTAGTGTGTTTGTTATTAAGTTAGTGAGTGAGTTATTTAGTGTGTTTAAGTTAGTGAGTGAGTTATTTAGTGTGTTTGTTAGTAAGTTAGTGAGTTATTTAGTGTGTTTGTTAGTAAGTTAGTGAGTGAGTTATTTAGTGTGTTTGTTAGTAAGTTAGTGAGTGAGTTATTTAGTGTGTTTGTTAGTAAGTTAGTGAGTGAGTTATTTAGTGTGTTTAAGTTAGTGAGTGAGTTATTTAGTGTGTTTGTTAGTAAGTTAGTGAGTGAGCTATTTAGTGTGTTTGTTATTAAGTTAGTGAGTGAGTTATTTAGTGTGTTTGTTATTAAGTTAGTGAGTGAGTTATTTAGTGAGTTAGTAAGTTAGTGAGTGAGTTATTTAGTGTGTTTGTTATTAAGTTAGTGAGTGAGTTATTTAGTGAGTTAGTTATTAAGTTAGTGAGTGAGTTATTTAGTGTGTTTGTTATTAAGTTAGTGAGTGAGTTATTTAGTGAGTTTGTTATTAAGTTAGTGAGTGAGTTATTTAGTGAGTTAGTAAGTTAGTGAGTGAGTTATTTAGTGAGTTTGTAAGTTAGTGAGTGAGTTATTTAGTGAGTTTGTAAGTTAGTGAGTGAGTTATTTAGTGAGTTTGTAAGTTAGTGAGTGAGTTATTTAGTGAGTTTGTAAGTTAGTGAGTGAGTTATTTAGTGAGTTTGTTTGTAAGTTAGTGAGTGAGTTATTTAGTGAGTTTGTAAGTTAGTGAGTGAGTTATTTAGTGAGTTTGTTATTAAGTTAGTGAGTGAGTTATTTAGTGTGTTTGTTATTAAGTTAGTGAGTGAGTTATTTAGTGAGTTTGTAAGTTAGTGAGTGAGTTATTTAGTGAGTTTGTTTGTAAGTTAGTGAGTGAGTTATTTAGTGAGTTTGTAAGTTAGTGAGTGAGTTATTTAGTGAGTTTGTTAGTAAGTTAGTGAGTGAGTTATTTAGTGAGTTTGTAAGTTAGTGAGTGAGTTATTTAGTGAGTTTGTAAGTTAGTGAGTGAGTTATTTAGTGAGTTTGTAAGTTAGTGAGTGAGTTATTTAGTGAGTTTGTTAGTAAGTTAGTGAGTGAGTAGTTTAGTTAGTGAGTTAGTTAGAGTTAGTTCTTTAATTAGTGAGTTCAGTGAGTTTGTTAGTGAGTGAGTTAGTGTGTGCGTATGTATGCATGTATTTATGTATTTATGCTTTCATTATATGCAGTCCCTTTTTTGCCAAAGGTCATGATGGTTTGCCTGACCAAAGATTCCCTTTTTTTTGTCTCATCTCACCACATCACACGATTCCATTTATAGTTCCAGTGATATTTTTGCAAGGTTCAGGCACAGTTTGTGGCTTTTTGTCAGAAAAGGCTTCTTTTATTGCACTCTTTCTAAAAGCCTCTGGTCATAAAGGTGGCACCTGACAGTTGATTTTAACATTCAAGTAAACTGCAGTTCTGAAACTGTGATCTTTTTTAGAGGTGCTAATAATTTGGCCCCATTTTTGCAAGAATACACTATTCTTAAAATAAACATTCATGTAGGATTGATTTCTTTTAGATAATTCTTAAGCAATTGTTGCAAACAATCTTGTTTTTTTTGCCCAGTATTTTTAAAGGGGTGCCAGTGATTCTGGAGTTGATTGTATGCATAATAATTAGTTGTAGTATATCATATTTAGTTGTAGAATAAACAGAAAAGAATAATTTGATCAGATTCCTTGAGATTAAGGCAAATTCCTTGATACTTAATTCACTGTCTGTTTCTTTGTTGCAGAAAAATCAATTGAGAGGATTTGGTGCTCAGGGCCCATGACGGCAGAAGACAAACCCCCTTCCTCTGATTAAGGGCAGCGTCCTCTCCTGTGTGTCCCCTCGTCTAACTCTTGCTTTTGCACTATGATGACAGCGCTAAGAGTAGTGAGTGTAAGAACAGACATAAGACAGATAGATGAATGTATGAAATCGCAGCTTATAGACATAAAGGCTTTTGTACATTTTTAGCATAGTAACCACTGAGGTTAGAACTGCTTGGTTTGAGGAATAAGTAGAAGTGCTATGACGTAGTGAACAAAACTTCTACATTGATTTGTGTTTTTCATATTGAAATCTAACGGGGCATTATGATAGCATTTATGTGACGTCCATTATTACCACTTAGCCATGCGCCCAGGGCTGCTAACAGGTAAGTCTGCAGGCAGGTGAGGAATGTAAGTGATAGAGTTACAGTGACTTTTTGTTTAAGGGAGGGATTTCTAGTCCTGCTTCTCGAGATCTACCACCCTGGAGAGCTCAGATCCGACACACCTGGCACTATTATTCAGACACCCCTGAAGGCCTTCATTACCTGGCTCAGGTGTCATAGATTATGGTTGGAGCTAAACTCTGCAGGGTGGTAGATCTCCAGGACCAGGACTGGGCACCTCTGGTTTAAGGGTTTCTCTAATTATTGTGATTCACAAAGGAGGCAGGCTTGGCTTTGGTAGCTTATCCGCTGCACGGAATGTGTTTAGAGGGTATGACGTTATGAAAAGTTGTATTGTGTGCTTGGTGAGGTTTTGTCCACGCAAACTGCGGAATTAATCAAAGCCATATTTCCAAGATCTTGTTTATTTGGACTGATGTTGGCAGTGAAAACAGCTAAATCTGATGTTCGGAAAGTTTGGTGTTGACATGTTGCTGGAGGTATTTGGTAGAGTCTGCACTCATGTCTGAAAGTAAATGCCATAAACAGAGCTGGAGCAGAAGTGAGCACTGCTTACGTATCAGAATTATGAGCATATCTATAGCTATATACTAATTATGAGAAATTTATGCAAGAATTGCGCTCATCAGAAAGCCCTTACATTGGAATTCCACTGCTTTTCAACCTTTCAGCACAATTGTTTCAGATGGAAAAAACTCATTCAGAGTGGTGCTGATAGGAACCAGACATCAGAGTTTTTTCTCAAATGTGTTCTTGAGAAAGATCCTCAGAAAAAGTCTGTCAGATTCATGACGTGTTCTTAAAGCGCAGAACTGTTCTCACCTTTGTGCTTTTGAGTGTGTGTAGATTCTGTTCTTACCTAAGAACAAATCCCAGATAAGAAATCATTGATGAATCTCAGAATCTTCGTAAAAAACTGCCTGAGTGAGTTTTAAGAAGAAATTTCTTCTTAAGAACGGTTGGTGAATGAGGCCCAATGTCTCTAAAAGCTCTCTCACAGGCGGTTATTACACAAATATGCTGCCTGACCTGCCCTGTGATAGACTGGTGACCTGTCGAAGGTGTTTTCTGCCTTCCGCCCAATGACGGCTGGGATAGGCTCCAGCTCCCCTCGCGACCCAGAAGGATAAGCAGCTTAGAAAATGTGTGTGTGCTGCATGTTTTACAATAGGTATGATAGTTAAGATAGAGTTTTGAAAAAATGTCCTTTTTTATCTATTAAGAGCAGAGAGGTGCATATAAGGCATTGTGAGGCAAAACAGTAGCCAAGACTCAAAGATTAAAGACTTAATTCTTTTTTTCCCCCCAGATTTTCCTCTATCCATGTAGGTTCACTGGTGGTTTTGGACAGTAAATAAATGGCTATATTTGTGTTGTAGATGTCTGGTTCCCATCAACACCACTGTAAATAAATCTAAGTCTGTAGGTTTCTCTGCAATGAACCATTTCACATCAAACCACTCTAACTTTTACATCTCAACCACTGATGTATGCAGAAACTTCGACAAAGTGGTGGAATTCCCCTTTAAACTTTATAAAGAATATTTAATTTTTACTATGCTGTACCTGTATATTTTCCTATACTGTATATTTCTTTTTAATTCTCTCTTAATTGTGTCTTTTGCCCCTGAAAATTGTTTCGCTATGAAGCATTCTGAGTTACTGTGTATTTGAGGCAGGATTTAGTGATGCTGATACCAGGAGATCAATACATTCAGGCGCTAATGTTTTTTTGTTGCATTAGACTGAAAATAATTAATGCGTTTGCATTCAGACTTTCCTATCCTTTAACCTCAGTTTTGTGTTTTCTTTCCTCTTAGTGTAAATTGTTAATACTGTTGATACTTATAATCTGTGTATATTAGAAACAGACCATAATATATAAGAGCTGAGAGGTGATATTTTAATTGTAACATACTGTAATGTAGCATTTAAATCTATATTGAATTGATATCTGACTTCTTTTGAGTAGTACTTGGGAGAGGATATGAGTTTAAAAGTATTGTTTTGAATAGAAACACGATCTTTATATTAATGAAATGACCACTTTCTCTCTTTCGAAGAAGCATCTGCACGTTCTTATTGTTAACCTGAAGCACGAATAAAATTTTCACAAGCTTTTGGAGCACATTGGTCTTCTTATTGTGTTATGAGTTTGTGTTTTATGGCATATTCGCAAAATATCTAAATAATTTAGATAATATGAAATGTGAATGAATGAATTGGGGGTCAAACGATACACTCAGTTTGATCCACGATCCTGGGTTCACGATTCGGTATTCTGAACAAAATCTGAATGGAGAAAATGATTATGATCATGTTGTTATATAGCCAACTAATGGCATTAGAGCTGGGAGGCAGGAGGAGTGCAGGAGAGAGGTGGTGGTGGTGGGTTTTTGGTGAATGTCTATTCTGTACAATGAGCACGGTCAGGTTTATCACAATGGAAAATCACAATGTGACGATCCGCACCGTTACTCCCCCAGAATCGACACTCTTAAAAATTAAAGACCTAAATGCGTTTAAATGGAGTTTTGTTCCCAGAGTTACAGAGGTTTAAAGCTAATCCGAAATCTAAATAGACCTTCTTTAAACATGCTCCTGTCTCTGATCATATTAAAGGAATAGTTCAGTGAAGAGTCATATTTACGTGATATTCTGCTTTCCCCAAATACAGTCGATCAGCCAAGACTTGTTTTTCTTCTTTAGTTTAGAACTGGAGCTGCCAGGCCAGCAAAGCAATACCTAAGACTGACTTACTCTAAGAGAGCTGGAAAACAGTAGCCATAAGAAACACTTTTCCCCACTATATTTACCACTTTTTTACCATCATTAACATTACATATAGAAACTCAACACGTGTTCACTGGTGGTTTTGGATAGTAAATAAAATAGCTATTTTGTGCTGTAGACGTGTTTTTTTATCACCACCACTGAGAAGAAATCTGATAAAGTTTCTCTGCAATGAACCATTTTACATCAAACCACTTTGAATGGTTTTGTTTCCATCTTACATTTTTCGATTCTTTAGTTTACAACTGGAGCTGCCAGGCCAACACAGCAATACCCAAGGCTGGCTTACTATAAGAGAGTTGAAGCTGCACGTCTAATAATGACAACCATATGAAAATGAGGTGTTGTGTTCCATTCTGCAAAGAACTGAACAAAGAAACCTGAACTGATGCAGACATATGCAAACTGTGCTTTAGCAATGAATGTACTGCACTATTTAGGGTGGAATGGAAAATGTAAATAAGAAGCTAACTTCAGCTTCATGCTGCGAGGGGGGCTGTTTGGGGGGCACACTTTCAAATTTGTAATGTGACACTATTGATTTTCTGACTTCCTTATCTCTACCTACATTACCCTACAGTGCTTCTGTGTTGTGAAGCCCTCATGGCTGATCAACTGTTTGTGGGGTAAGTGGACAATTGTGCCCCATGTGAATGTTGTTACATCGCTGTGAAATAATACTTTTGTCCCCTACACCTTTTCTTTCTATTTAAAAAAAAGCAAACCTTTGAAAAAGACCTGAGTGTGAAGAAGCTTTTAAAAGGTTTAAAGAATCCTTACCTGATGTAAAAGTTCTATAGTAACTGAAAAGGTTCTTCCTAGTCTTTACATGACGTGGACTTCAGGACACATCAAAGTTAGTTCTCAACACATCTCATTTACAAAAATGGGTCACTAACGAACCATTCATGAAATGTTTGGAGAACCAAAAGTGGCTCTTCTGTGGCATCACACTGGCACCTTTATTTTTTTAGACTGTATCATGGAGAGAAAACGCTCAGCTAGCTCCGAGACCCTCCCTGATACCATGTTTTACTTAGGAATATGTCACAGTACGAAAGCAACATTGATGATTCCCATTCTCACGGATTTCAAAGGTACAGAAACAATTGTGCTATATATCCCCCATTCACCAGATGTTTGAAAGGTTTAAACATGTTTCTTCCATCTGAGCACAGAACTTTGTGCAATGTTTTTCTACAACTCCCGATTCAATTTTGAAGTATAGAAAGATTAACTGCCCCAAAATGGAAATATTAAATGAATTTTATTTAAACATATGTTCTATTTACATCCATGACACTGAAAGGTAGTGATAAAAACTTCTTTTTGCATAGAAAGTGCACATTATTAGGAACGCACAGACAGATCATTAACGATACTCTGCAGGAATTAGTAAAAAAAAAAAATATTATGAGTAGCACTACACAGAAGACATTTAAAAGCAGTAGTCATATTTATGTCAATGTGATGACAGCACACATAGTAGTGTTATAACAGTATAGTACTCACCCTCCTTGCATGTGCTTGCATACATAGTAATAGTACACTAAAAACATTTTAACCAATTTCGGCAACACTCCCGAATGTACAAATTACTCTAAGAGTGCTGATCTGGAATCAGTGCCTATTTTGTCTGCCACATCCTGAACTGTGGGCATAAGTACACAAGGTAAGCACTAAGCAACTGTATACATGGTTTCGTACGTGCTAAAGCCCCCTACCTTTAAAACCTGTCATTTTAGTAAAGCTGTAACTCTATTCCTCTACATATTTACCCATTTTACCTAAATACTGCTATATGATCTGAGTCATATTAACTGACTCCTGGGTAAGTAATCCAAAGTAGCAAGAGTAACACTTTTTAAAACATTAACAAAGACTCACAAAAAGAAAACACTGAAGGAAGACGGCTATAGAAATCAGCTGAAGCAATTGCACAGGTGGTAGTTACTGCATCAGTAGTCCTTAACACATCTCCATAATGAAGCAATGTGCCACTGAACCGTGAGCTAACAGCGAGCTGAGTGTGTGAGCGTCTGTTACAGGCTGAACCCAGACAGAGCCAAGTGTTGGGCAGTGTTTCTTGCCTCGAAGTATGATGTATCCGTCTCGTCGTCAGGTTGAGGAATGAAGGGCATGGCCTGGTTCTGAAGGTTGTCCCAATCCAAACCCACAAAGAATGGATGCTCTTTCAGCTCTGGAGGAAAACCAGGTGAGACGAAAAGTTAAATCAGCACAACGTTCACAAATATTCGAATGTTTAAGCTTTCAGCACTCTTAACAAGAAAAAAATAAAGGTGCCAAAAGGGTGATTAGGAGGCATGCAATAGAAGAACCAATTTTGGTAACACAACAAACCTTTCAATTGATGGTTCTTTAAAGAACTGTTTTTGTAAATGAGACGTTTGAGTATGAAGAACCTTGAACAACCCCCTACCTAATGTAAAGGTTCTATTCCAATTAGAAGTTTTCTAGAGCCATATGTCCAAGCAAAGGAACCTTACTTATTTAAAGAGTGAAGGCAAGAAAATGGTATTTACGTGCAATGTGAGCACTTTCTAAACATAAAGACTTCACCTATGCAAGATGCACAGCAGCCTTGAAGCTGCATAAAATGATTTGCAGAGTTTGTGAAAGTTTAAATCTTTGCCAATCTGAAAATTGTCCATCATGAACAATTGTTTAAGTGTGCATTAAGTTTATTATGTAATTTTACAAGGTCTCAATATGAACCTCCTCCAGCTGTACAGACAACATCAATGCCATAGTCAAATTAATCCCATACTCGATTGAGCATGTCGGGTGTCGCTGCACTCACGGCTCTTTCAGTGCGATTTCGGAGATCATCCAGTGTTGTTGGGAGTGGCACATAAACAGAATCCTTAACGTACCCCCGCAAAAAAAAAAAGTCACACGGCGTGAAATCTGGTGATGCTAGTGACTTTTTTCTTGGAACTGTTGGTACCAACGACCAATGAGTTGTTGGAGGTTCACTGTCATACTGACACTCTGTAACTCTATGACCTCCTCTTTCAATCGGGTTGTGATTGGTTCCTAGGCGCCTCACGGTTGTAAAAATATGGCGCTTTGAAATAGGATGAATCTTTTTGAATCACCCTACAAAAAGGGCTTTATTAAGAAAGTAAAACTGAAATTAGTTGCACTGAAACTAATAGTAGCAGATAACTGACTGTAGCAAATAAATGCAAAGGACAAAAAAATGAGCTATTTAATAGCTTTAAATGGTAAGCATCACAAAGGCCCTGTTTTTAAACATTCCTGGGGCCTCATTTAACAATGGTAGGAAACTATTTTTAATTCTCTGAAAACAAATGACTGAAGGAGGCAATGCTGTGATATCCTTCAAATAACTATTACTATTTTATTGGCATTTCTTTGACACTGTCCTCACCTTTCAGGCCAGCCCGTTTGTTTACATCTGTAGTAAGGAGAATCTCTATGGCATTTCTCGCACTGTGGGGCAATTCCTCTTCTCCATCAGGCCATGGTATATCTGCATTGTCAGAAGTTCAGAAGTGTCATAATGTATCACAACTGTCACCTCGAAATGCATAACCAGCAATCTTGAAAGTGAAACAGAAACTGGGTGTATAATGCAAATGAAGGATGAGTCAGTGTTCTATAAATACATACATCATCATGATATCGTTATACGCGACCATTCAAAAGTTTGGAATCACTTGTTATGATGTTATTTTATTCAATTAAAAACATTGACAGATTAGACTGAAACACCAGAAGATACATGTTACAATATTATTACTAAAGACATTACTAAATGACATTACTTTAGTACAGACATTACTAAACAATACATAATTTACAGTAATTAATTATTTATTTATGGTAATTTCATGATAAATTATCTGCCTTAAGATTTCATCATTTCATCACCACTTTTAAAATACAAAGCATTCTCACTGTTCATTTTATTGTAATTTCTTCTGTTTTACAGATTTCTCTGTCATTTCAGAATCTTCTATAACTCTGTTCATCATTTTGGAGTTACTGTTTTTATAACCCATTACAAATTTATGGAGTAGTAACTAGGGCTTAAAAATTGGTCATTTTATATTGAAATTGCAATTTGAAAGAGCCAAATTGCTGTTTCATTTAAAACCTGTATTATCCACACAGTCTTTTAAGTGGGGAAATCTAACCTAATATCAGAGCTTATGAACCACCTATGTATGAGTTAGACCAAACACCTAAGTGCTGTGTACATGACAACACAACTACAACTAACTGGCAGTGAAGCCTCAAGCCAAAAAAATGGATTTTCTGGTCGTCTTGGCCAAAATAACAGGCCAGTACCTCATTTTATATTAAATAAAAATACTGGTCAGTAAAATCACAATTAAATATTGTTCCCAAATCCTTTATCCCTAGTAGAAGCATCTTATTAGTACAATTTTATACATGTGCCTGTAACAAAAGACTCTTGGTTTTAAATGAATGAAAACAGTGATTCTAAACTGTACTGTAGTACTTTGACTGTAGCGTATATCCACTTATATTGTTTTGTTATAAGGGAGTGAATCACCTCGGTTGAGAATGTTCTGGAACACAAGTTGAGGAGTTTCATCGTTGAACGGCGGTACTCCAGTGAGGAACTCGAAGAGGCAGACACCCAGCGCCCACCAGTCCACCATGAAATCTAAGATGGGGGGGGAAAAAACATCATTACTGTCTTATCAACTTTTCAACAATATACTCAAAAATGTTAGACTGTGATCACAAACCTACTCTACAGCTGTGAGAGCAGGGGGAGGTTAAAGTTAATAATTGTGGAGGGAAAAGCATTGACATTATAAGCATAGCGTAAAATTTGGGACAATTTCAAATTATTTTTACATTAGTTATGGAATTTTAATCATTTGTTTTTAGATGTTTTCATCAATGAAGGTCTAAAGCAGGGAAATATAAATAATCATTCAAATAATAATAAATAATTCAAAATCACAGACTGAAGTACAGAATTCTAACGTTTTTCTGGACTAAAGCTGAGCCTAGTCCTGCAATAAATGTATTTATTTTAAAAACGTCCCCCACTATCTGGGATTCCCCCGTGGACAGCTAGAGAAGAACCAAGCCCCTAACTATGCCCTCCCAGTCATGAATGGATGAGCTATTAATAAGAATCAAACTTGGGTCCTGTCTTCTTGGATAGATGCCATACTAAGAAGTCTAATATTGTTTTCCTCTGATAAGAAATAAACACCAGTTGCTGCTAATGAATCATTACTCTGGTTCCATCACCAATAATGGTTGCAACACCACCAATGTAAATATAACCCCCTTATAGCACAGACTGTCCCAGTCTGTTCCAAAAGGACCCACAACCAGTCTGAATTTTTCATCTACTTCACCTCCTAACACACCAGCGCCAGGTAATCGCCACTCTACAGGCCAGATGTGTTAAGAGCTGGAACAGAACAAAGCCAACTAGGGATCCTTTTAGGACCAGCTTGGAAGTTTCTGCCAATTTTCCAGTGGAATGTCCCAGAATTCCCAAGTTCAAAGAGCATCACTGAAGCAGTAAGAATGGCAAGTCAAGCGCAGCCAATCATGGAAGTGATTGTCCATCAATATTACTGAAATTAGTCAGCCATTTCCTTTGATAAATGTCATTAAAAAGGACACTTCAACCAAACCTTGTGTGGCTAATAATGTGTGAATGTTAGCAGGGACCCATTGGCATTAGGCAATGCTGGCTATCTTTCATTCATTATTAGCTCTGTAGGCATGTTTGGATGAAGTATTCCTTTACAGAGAAGCCGCTTGCTCATGCACCAACACACTGAGCACAAATTCAGCACTCCGCACAAGTTTCCAATGTACTCACCGCGCTCAAGTGTTCCTGCAACTAAAACATAAGGTCCAATAAAGAAGCCATTCAGTGCACATGGCAATCAATCATTTGAGTACACAAAACAAACTGAGCTGCATATGAAGTGTATGAAAAGATCAAAAGTTAGTTTAGTTTTGCATCTTATAAAAGATTTGCAGTAAGATGTGCAGTAAATTTATCCTAGTTATAATCCAATCTCCTCTTACCATGATGTTTGCCCACTAAAAGTTCTGGGGCCAAGTAGTCAGGGGTGCCTAGGATGGGAGCCCCCTCCACTGGACCTGGACCTCTACGGACACTCTTGGGTGTTCGATAAGGGGTGTGGGACAAAACCATAGGCTGTGGAGTCTGATTTATAAAACAAAGAAGAAAAAAAAAATCATAAAAGAAAACAAACAAACCAGAAAAAGAAACAGCAAGGAGTTTAAAGAAAAGCAGGGCATTAGGATTCCTTCACATTTTAAACAAGGCAAGGCTAAAATCTAAAAACATAAAATGCAATTTCCACTTGTTTTGGAGGCCCCACAGTTGAACCATCCATAACTTTACTTCAGTAACTTTAAAGGAATATACACTATGTGGACAAAAGTATTGGGACACACCTTTTAATTATTGAATTCAGGTGTTTCATTCAGTCTCATCGACACAGATGTACAAAATCAAGCACCTAGCCATGCAGTTTGCCTTTACAAACATTTGTGACAGAAATGGGTCGTTCTAAAGAGCTGTAAACGAGTGTGGTGCTGTAATAGGATGCCACAGTTGCAACAGTTTGCTATTTTTTTTTCCTTCCTAGATTCTCCTCGATCAACCTTGAGTGGTATTATTGAAATGTGGAAGCATTTAGGAACCACAGCAACTCCGCCACGAACTGTCAGACCACGTAAAGTTACAGAGCGAGTCCCTGAGTGCTGAGGCGCCTAGTGCATAAAAGTCACCAACTCTCTGCTGACTCAATAACTGCAGAGTTCCAAACCTCCTCTGGCATCAACATCAGCACAAAAAATGTGCACCAGGAGCTTCATGGCAGGGTTTCCATGGCCGAGCAGCTACATGCAAACCTAACATCACTAACCACAATGCCAAGCGTTGAACGGAATGGCGTAAAGCACGCCGCCACTGGACTCTGGAGCAGTGGAATCATGCTTCTCTATCTGGCGGTCTGATGGACGAGTCTGGGTTTGGTGAATGCCAGAAGAACATTACCTGCCTGACTGCACTGTGCTGTGCCAACTGTAAACTGTGGTGGAGGAGGGATAATGCTATGGGGTTGTTTTTCAGGAGTTGGCCTAGAACCCTTAGTTCCAGTGAAGGGAAATCTTAATGCTTCAGCAGAACAAGACATTTTGGACAATTATATGCTATATACCATGTTTGGGGAAGAACTGTTATAACTGCAAGGGGGGCAATTCCATATTAATGTCTTTGGATTTCGAATGGAACATCATAAAAGCTCCTGTAGATGTAATATGTAGGTGTCCCAATACTTTTGTCCACATAGTGTTTTTCAGTGTAAATTTGTATGATTTACAAAACAATTTTAGTCTTCGTAGGTGAGCAAGCAAAAAGGGGCTAGCATCTAAAGTTTGACTAGTATCTAAAGTCATGCCACCAACTTTAGAAGGTCAAAGAACCTGAAACACTAGTAAAGTTGCTCTAAGAGTTCATGTCCCAGCTGTCTGAATGGCCTTTAATGTGTCTGCTATGCATACTTAAATGATTGAGTTTTACTAGCATTCAGTTGTTGCTTTCTTTCCCTGAAACTAACTTTTTTTCTGATGACCTACCTGGTACAGTGAGCTGTTGAGGCTAGACCTTTTCTTCTGCACGGGGGTCACAGCAGTTGGAGCACTGTGGAAGGAGGATGAGGCTGACATGTCCATTGCTTCCATGGAGGCAATACTGAGACGAGAGCTGCAGGACATGTTGGATCGGTTAATGGAGCTGCAGTAGCTTCTGAAGGCCACCACATTCCTAGGTTTGAGGAAGGAAGGTGATTTGACCAGGCTGCTGGACCGAACGTGATGGTCCAAGACGGAGCAATCCGATTCACTCTTCTGATGGTGCGCATCATGCTGCTTCGGTGTGTCAGAGTATTCTGTCTGCGGTGGAACCACAGCAGATATCTCATTTTCATCCAGCTCCTGGAATGAAGGCAAGAGAGCACCTCTTGGACAGTTTTTTGGAGGAGGTGTGTTTGTAATCACAGACATTTCGTGGACTGAACTGTCTGAATCTAGGCTAAGGCTTCTACTCAGGTTAACTTCAGGAGAAGACGTGAAGCTGGAGCTGGCCACAGCACCGCCATTTTCTCCTGGCTCTTCCAGCTCACACAAAAGATTCTTGGCCACATTAGCAGGGCTGGACTGTTTGGGGCCCCTGGCTCTCTGATCTGAGGCTTTCCACATTGCTCCTTCACTACCCAACCCAACAGCAGAGAAAATCCCTGTCAGACCTGTATGGCCTCTTGCATCATTCTCTGGAATTGGAAAACATCTCCTGTACTCAACGTCACTCTTCTTGGCTTGGATCTCAGCTTGCTCAGGGCTCTTGTCCACCAATGCAAACCCTCGTTTAACTGAAGAGCTCGGCTTTTGAGCAGACACTTTCTCCAGTGATTGGCTAGTGCAGACGAAACCCGTCTCAAGTTTTGTAAGGCTGCTCTCAAATGACTGTTTAAGAGGAGTCTTATTGCTGGGAGAAAGGCAGATATCAGCTTCAGTGAAGTGGAGCCTCTTTCCTGCTGAAGTATCTGGCTTTACGTTCTTCATGTCCACAATGACTTTATTAAGAGACCGTGACCTTGAGTTTAAGTTGTGGAGTGGTGTCAGTGGAGTCTCGTTTCCAGGCGTCCGTATTTCACTTCTCATTTTTCCCTCAGAAACAGTCACAGGGTGTTTTTGTCCAGCTCGGTCAACTACATCCTTTCCATGTGGAGGCGGGACGTTCTCATTGCCTTCTAATTTCTACAAAAGCACAACATTGTCCTTATTAGTATCAACAGGCACAGTTGTCCAATGGCAACATCCTGTCTACACTTATGCATAACCTTGTTTTAAATCCTATTTTGTTACAAACCTGCCCAAAACACAAAGTCAAGCATTCTATTTAATGAAACATAGCAGCCAAATAATGCTAACACAGCTAGCAATTACCAAAAGCTGGGGGCATTCATCTGTTCATTTAACTTAGGACTGATATGATACATAATATTAGTAATTGAGTAATCTACTGATTATTAGAAAATATATCTAGTAATCATGCCAAATAATAAACATGTGCTTAACTGAAAAACAAACCATGCATAGCCTTTCAAACATTACAAAATACTTCTAGCCTTAGAAATTTGTTTAAAAAATAAAATGAAACTCTAAAACTGTGCATTATCATCATGAAAACTGGCAACTAATCATTCATTGTGAAGGAAAACGTTTTCTGAACAGAGTAAAAGAGTTATTATAGAGCATAACTGCACTTATTACATTATTTTTGCACTTATTGTTTGAGTTCCTTGGTCTACCTAACTATATGTAAGACTTTTTACCTGCTCATCTTCCCACAGTGGGCTGATGCAGCTCTCAGAGTCAGTGGCAGACAGCAGGAGAGAAGAGTGAGCACTGCCAACACTTAAGGACTCAAACCTCTTCCTGGCCTTCAACAGCCTTGGCGTCAGGCTTTTAGCCACTACACCAGGGCTAAAGACACTGTTAGCTCCTGAAAGAGAAAAAATACTCAGCTAATAAAAATGAAACTAATAAATCAGCGAATACCTGAATTGATCAAGGCTTCTCTGCATGTGATTAAGGGTGGGCAATGTGACAAAAGCCATGTTTACACGCAGCCTAATAATCCATTAATAATCCGACTAATAGCTCAATCGGAATAGAATACGTCCATGTATACACCTCAATCAGAATAGACTAGTCCAATTGAGGCCGTTCGGAATACAGTTTCTATCCGATTGAGCGAGATGGGTAATCCTGTAAATAATCCGTTAAATAGAAGAATAATATCCATGTAAACGCCTGTATCTGATTACATTCCCAATTGGAAAGTTTAAGTACGTTCAAGTTTATACCGTTCAACATGGCGGAGCAGAAACTGGTCTGCGGAGGAGACGAAGTTTATGCTCTGATCTTTAAAAGACGGCAGTGGGACGGACGTCCAGCTTATGTGTCTCAGAACACGACGTCTTCCTCTCTGCCTTCTTTAATAAGGACATGTGAAGGACGTTTTCCTGAGTCTGACATCATTTTAAAGTAATTAGATACACAAGCACTGCTCACTGCTGCTCGTCTCACTCTGACTGGACTCACTGGATGCTCGTTGTCATGGTAATGTCTACACTGAGTGGTTCTCTACGCATGCAATTTTGGATCTGATTATTTGTAGTGAGCATGTAAACTGAGATTTTCGTCAGATTGTTGAGTAGAGTGAGAATATAAACACCTCAGTCTTAATCTGTAATCAGAATCTATTCAATCGGATTGGCAAAAATATTTGCATGTAAACACAGCCAATGTCACATAACACTTTTTTGTTTTGGAGTAGGGATGCATCGATATTGATACCAGTATCGGGTTTGACACTTGTGTTTCATGATGTTATACTTTTGTCATATCTCCCACCCTTAAATGCAGTCCAACAGGTCAGAGCTAAAACAACACATCGATCTTATTGAAAACAGTGAAATACCAAGGGCTCGTGTGGGACACATAGGAGAACGCAGGTGGTCCCTTCGTCTGGCCAGCAGAGGAGAACACAGCAAACTCTTTCTCTGCTCTGCTTTCCCACAGGACACAGGGCTGGCCACGGCTGAGGCGCTGCTGTGACGCTTGCCTTCTAACACTGGAGTATTCTTTTATTTAGAAGAAATAGCAACACAAAGAGAATTTACTGTGTCTGATGCTTCAGTTGACTTTCTGACAAAACAGACACCCACATGAATTTGTAAGCATACTGTGCATTTTCAAACATCTTATTATACTCACAAGACCAAGGGAACTTATCAAGGACAAAACTTGACCAGGCGTTCTGAAATAATCTTTCTTTGGTTTTGCCAAAGACGGTGTGGTCAATATGTCCATAAGATTCAGTTCTAGAGAGGATAAAAACAAACATTTCCATTAGCCAAAGCTTGAAGGTACAAAATGAAAATAAGAACAGTAAGACTGCACAAATTTGCAGACTACAGATTAATAGACTGAAGTATGAAAGATTTTATGATGACTCAGCTTTACAGGCCACCATACCTCTGTCAAGTTTCACTTTGGAGAGGCCGAAATCAGTCAGCTTAATGTGGCCTTCATTGGAGATAAGCATGTTGTCAGGTTTGAGATCCCTGAGAAAGAAGAAAGATGAACATTTTTGTTTACTGTCAGAATGAATGATGGCGAAGATGTAGAAGTGGTGGATAGTTTTAGCCTGCCTGGATCAATTATTAACAACAAAGGATCCAGCAATACGCAGACTGGCTCTCAGCAGAAAAAGGGACAAAGGACAGAGATGGCACAATTCCACTTTTTCTTATCCAAAACCAATGCTAAAACAAAAACCTCAAGTATCGGTCAATTTTTAATTAAAGCATTTCACATTAGATGGTCATTTAAAAGTAGGCTACTATACTCTCACACACTCACACACATCATCTAAACCGCTTATCCTTCTGGGTCGCGGTGGGTGCTGGAGCCTTATCCCAGCTGTCATTGGGCGAAAGGCAGGAGACACCCTGGACAGGTGGCTACTATACTCAAACTACTTAAATATTCTGCTACCCCACAGGAAGAATTACATCACACAGTGTGAATGAGTGCTATTTCAGGATAGATTTGTTACAAGATGAAATCACATTCATTATTTTTCTTTTTTTGCCTCCGATTTCCCATCCAGCATATTCTGCTGACATCAGCCTGACAACCATCAATACAGATATGCCATCACTAATAAAGGAGCTGGAACATCATCAAAAGTTTGTCCCTATAAAAAAAGGTCAGAATTGCCCAGGCTGTAGTCTTTTCTGTGGTTCTTTATGGACAAAAAAAGGACACCAAAAAAAAACCTGAAATCCGGTTTTGGTGAAAACTTTTGAGAGTACCTTGGAAGGTAAAAATTTGGATCTTTGACCACCTTAAGCTTCACATCTCAGTCAAAGCCAAGACAACTAATTTGAAGCTCCTATTTGGACACAGAAGAGAACCAATTCATTGAAAAAGAAAATTATGCTTAAGGTAAAAGAGGAAGAGGACAATCAGCAACAAGACAGATGAAGACAATTAGAGAACTCATGACTAAGAAGCCTAAAGACCCAAACAGAAGACAAGATATTCTAGAAAAACACCACTGGTCACCAGGAACTGGAATCGACTTGATGGCACTTAATAACAATAAACATAACAGTAGTTTCTTATAGTAAGGAATATGTACCTGTGGATGATTCCATGTCGGTGGAGATAATCCAAAGCTAGCGCTACTTCTGAAATGTATTTTAATGACATGTCCTCATCAAAGTAGCCATAGATGTGCAGCAGTGACTTCACATCGCCACCAATCAGGTACTCCATCACCTAAAAAATAAAAATAAACGCCGCAAAGGTCATCAGTTCACGGTCTAGAATTCAGAAACTCAAATAAAAAGACATCAATTAATGACAATAATTGCAGGATTAGTTTCTACCCACCAAATACACCTTGGCTGCTGTCTGAAGAGAGTAAAACAAGTGTACAATGAAAGGGCTTTTGCTGAGGGCCAGCGCATCTCTCTCCGCCCGCATCTGATCACTCATGTTCTTGTCCACCATGTCTGACTTCTTCACCACCTTGGGAATGATTACAAAACCAACACAAACACATTAAGCTAGCCAGGATTGTGGAGCACTTTTTATATGAAAAGACTGCTAGTAATTAAGACTATACAACATAGACAAAACATAATTACTGTAAATACAGCGTTCAATACTGTAATATTCATTACAATAACTGCAAACACTCAGCAGAAACATTCAGCTTTCAACTGACAAAGTGATGTCAAGCTCAATAAACACTATTAGGAATGTAACAACTCATCCAGTCTCTTCAATGCATTAAATCAAAAGGCTGCACATAAAAAAATTACACTGATTGACTGACTGATTTTTGGGGCACTGTGCAATGAAAATATTCTTCTTTTCTTTCCTCTCATTGTTCTGAAGTCAAAGTTGAAGGTTTAGGGTGATTACCTGAGAATATTCATTCATGCAGAGATCGATAAATGTTTATGTAAATAATGTTTAGTCATAAACTGAACTGAACCTTAATATACAATTCTGGTTGCTGCATGTACGAGTCATATCGATCATAAACGCCTGAAGAGGACTCAAATAACAGTGCTGTGAAATACTGTGAAAATATTGAATCACTGCCTTACAAACTGAGATCATATCGTACTGCAACTTTTAAAAAATTAAAATGACTAAAGTGCAAGGTTTTCTTTTTTGGATATACAAATAATGACACCTGCTTGAATAATTAAAAATAATCAAGAAGTGACCAACTTCTCATTACTGTAACACAGTAAGATTTGTAGATACATGTGCAAATAATGTTTTTTTTTTCCCCTCACAACTTTTCAAATCTGTATACTGTTGCAAGACTAGCATTTCACAATTTTTCTCTCATTACTGCAACACACTGAAAGCCATTTAGTTTCTTTGCACTGGTGTAACATAACCTAACATGTTATTTTCATTCACTTTGAGAGTTTACAAGGTAAATACTGAAAAACTAATTAGAAAAGCAAAAAAATATCAAAATCAGTAACGATAAACAGATATGTGGACAATGTGTTGGTAATGAGAATTAGGGGTAAAAAAAATGCCAAGAACAAAAAAACAGAAAACTGAAAAAAATGTTTAAAAGTATGTTTAAAATTGTTTTAAAAGATGGTTCTTCAAGGGTTCTTTATGGAATCAGGGTTTTTTATAAAATCATAAACACTCGAAAAACCATTTACATGATTAAATGATTCTTTGCACAGTGAAATTGTCCTTCAGATTGGCAGAGAATGTGTTGTACATGGTTCTACATAGAACCTTTTTGAAAATGGTTCTATATAGCACCAAAAAGAGTGTTTCTATTGTTACAAGCTTGACATCATGACAATAGCAGAACCGTCTTTGGTGCTACTGACGGAGATTTTGAATAAATATTCCCTTAATCAGTAATCAAACAGATTAGATGTTGTAATCAATAACCAAATAGGTAGTATTGCCTAACAGAGAATATTAATTCTTTCACAAAGGGTCGGCCTTAGACTGTCTGCATAGGAGATTCTAGACACTGGAAAGCCTCTGGGTTCACAGAGAGGCCTGTGTGTACCTACTGACCCAGTGAAGAGAGGGGCAAGTTGACCCTAAAAGGTAGAGCAGGCTGGTAAAAAACCTGTTGAAGCCAGTTTTGAGGAGTGAGCTCATCATGCGATGGCCAAACTGATGGACAAAGAGATGCACCTATTAGAGAATGAGCTAATATCAAAATGTGAGAAGTAAGGAGGGGGGATATGTTGTTTAGAACACTGTATTTGCACAGTTGGGGTCTTTCGAGACCCTGATGCTAAAATAAAGAAGCCTTTTTCTCCCTTCCACAAGAACTCAGCGGCTGAAGTCTTTTATTCTACTTTCTTTTATTTTTGATTGAATACCCTTTCTATTTTTTGTTCATTTTATTTTTGTTTATTTCTGTAAGTGATTAAGTCAATAATTAGAACAAAACCACAGCACAGAATAGTTTAGATTTTAAAAACCATCATATGTCGGGGCTTTGGGCAAGGAAGCAAACAGCTCAACAACTATATAGAACCATTTTCAAAAAAGGTTCTATATGTATGTCTATACAATACATTCTCAATCGATCTGAAAAACCATTTCACCATGCACAGTACCACTGACGCAGGAAAAGGTTCTACACAGAGCTCATGGTTCTAAATAGAATCACTGCCTTTACTAAAGAACCACTTTTTCAACCCTCCTACTATCTTTGAGGTCAGTCTGACCCCAGGCTGTTTTAGCTGTATAAAACATATGAAATATCAACATCTGACACACATCTGTTTTGGCTGTTCTGGGTGATACTGTTGTCACTAAAACATACAATTTTATAATCTTCAAAAAAAGAAGCTTCCCTCTGGTTTAGGGCCCAAACCTAACACAGCCACACCTGTAGTAGCACAGGAACCACTGGTAGCTCATAAGACATGAGAGGGAAACTCCCACCGGACTCTTTGTTCCCCGAAGGGTTAAATTGCTGGGGTCAAACTGACCCCACGGATAAAAGATGTTAGTAAATGTAAGGATAACAGGAGCGTTAGGTGTGAAGGGCTCAGACAGACCTAACTAAATCACAATAAGAGTATTGCCTCGTTAATCTGCGCGATATTTATGCCATATTATATTATTATGTTTTATTATATATATATATATATATATATATATATATATATATATACATATATATATATACACATATATATCAGTACGGTTACCTTACCTTCACGGCGTACAGTTTGGAGTGGCTCTTCTTCCTCGCCAGGAACACTTTACCGAAGGCGCCGCGGCTGATGGGCTTCACCACCTCGAAGTCGTCGATGGTGGGCGGCTTGGGCACTTCCACCGCGGCCACGGGCTTCTCCGGAGCCTCCATCGCCCTGGACTGCCTTGACTAGTCAGGTATTTGGAGTCTGTTTTAAGGAACTAACGCAGCTGCTGAACGAACTCAAACCTCGGGCTGCATTCCGGCAGAGCTACGTTTCCGTTACACCGGCGAGGCGGATTTCTGCCAAAACACACAGACCAAACTCCTCCAAACCGCTCATAACCGCACAATACGATCAGTAACAGCACCATTAGCTCCCTGACGGCGTCCGTTCTCCGTTTTCTCCCTCAGAACAGTCAGTAATCCGCCGGCGGCTCCTCCATGCTCCGCGTCTGACAGGCTAACCGCACTTTGTTTTCAATTTTTCAAATTTCGCTGCTTGTTTTGGGGGCCTTGGTGACGTAGTACAAAAAAAGGAAAAAATAAAAATGTTAAAAACAAGGATAGAAATATGTTGGGGAAAACGCGTATCTGGAGTATAGATATACATATATATCGCTGCCCAACAGATTATCTTTCTTATATAAAAATAATAAAAATAAAAAGACTTTTTAAAATGTTCTCAGTCCACATCAGGCGCATATCGGGTCTACTATAGTGAGCTCGCTTGAAGTCAATGCGCCCCCTGACGGAGGACGAAAGAAGAGCCGAGACAAGATTCAAGAGTTTTATTGTCGAATGCGCAGCAGAAACAGGCAGTACAGTGTACTGTACTGTACTGTACAGTGAAATTCTTACTTTGCTGTTCCTCCATTCACCAAATATATTTATTTTGTTTATTCTGCGATGTGAAGGCTGTTATGCATCCTATTGATATACTTGTTTATGTATATATATATATATATATATATATATATATATATATATATATAGTTATATGCTTGAAAAAAAATGCTACATTAACTACACTACATGTACACTCATCAGTCCTAACATTATGACCACCTCCTTGTTTCTACGCTCGTTGTCCATTTTATCAGCTCCACTTACTATATAGGAGCACTTTGTAGTTCTACAGTTACAGACTGTAGTCCATCTGTTTCTCTGCATACTTTGTTAGCCCCCTTTTACCCTGTTCTTCAATGGTCAGGACCCCCAGAGGACCACCACAGAGCAGGTACTATTTGGGTGGTGGATCATTCTCAGCACTGCAGTAACACGTGGTGGTGGTGTGTTAGTGTATGTTGTGCTGGTGTGAGTGGATCAGACACAGCAGTGCTCCTGGAGTTTTTAAACACTGTGTCCACTCACTGTCCACTCTATTAGACACTCCTACCTTGTTGGTCCACCTTGTAGATGTAAAATCAGAGACAGTAGCTCATCTGTTGCCGGACGGTTTGTGTTGGTCATCCTCTAGTCCTTCATCAGTGGTCACAGGACCCTGTTGGCTGGATATTTTTGGCACATTCAACACTTTTTATAATCATTGCTTTATATAAAGCAGGATGGCTTTGATTTTCTAAAGGCTGAAAAATGACTGATGTTCTGTTGAATTTCAGTTAAACCTTCAGTGTTATTTCAGTATTAATTCAGGGTGCAAAAGTGATTCAGAATCAACATCAGATTAGAATGTTAATGAAGTTAACGTTGACACTTCAATATTGATTTAACACTGTGATTTTCTGCTATCTGGGAAATTATTCATTTAACTTGGATGAAATCAAGGTTCATCTATTAATCATGCTGCACCAAATTTCAAACCTAGTTTAAAATAATCAGGATTACATTATTTGTGTTGCACCACTTAATTTTAAACATGGATTAAAAAATCTTTGATTGCAGCCTTAATGTGTGATTAAAATATTAACCAGCCATTAATTCTGACTGTCCCGCCATGATGGATTCAGCAGTGTAAATAAACAGGAACAGCATCGGCCTCCACACTAATCATTGCCCATGAGTTACTCACAGGGCTACGTCAGAAACAGCTCTCACAGACAAAGAGTGAATTCAGATGTTTAAACGATTTGTTATTAGTTATTAATCCAGGATTAAAATGGTGGTTTAAATGTAATCCTGATTATTATTAAACTAGGTTGAAAGTTTGTTGTAGCATAATTAATAAAGTGTGATTTAATACAAGTTTCAGCTTTATCCCTGTTGGTGCGGCTCACCCATAAACCTGGATTACTTTCAGAGTAAATCTAGATTTCCGGTTGCACCGTTACTTTAAACTCAGATTTAAACTTCTTTCAGGGACATTTAAACGTCCAATCTTGGTGGATTATCTCTCTCTCTCTCTCTCTCTCTCTCTCTCTCTCTCTCTCTCTCTCTCTCTTTCTCTCTCTCTCTCTCTCTCGCTCTCTCTTTCTCTCTCTGACTAAACTATATCCCCCATATAATATAAAATATAGCAACTTATATGGAATTAGTTAGAACTCACTCACTTATGGTTAACGATTCTGCCCACAAGGGGGCGCTATTAGCACTCATGTAGCTTTTGTGTGCATCACTGAAACAGAAGTAAATAAACAGCAGCGGATCTCACTAATGCACGTTTTACAGTTACAAACTGTGTTTAAATGATGTAGCTAAACAGCTGAAGACGGACTGAATACAATCCAGGTAAGAACACGGTTTTGGTGAACTAGCTGATCCAGGCAGATCGCTAGGCTAACTAGCTAACTAACAGGCTAACAGGCTGCTCTAATAATCTCTGTGTTCGGCTTTAGAATTTTTAAATTAGCTTTTCCTGTAAAACTGCAGCTTACAGAATGAAATAAAGGGAACATTTATATACTTAAAATATTACAATTCAAATTACCAACAGGTTTAGTGTATATGTTAAAGTCTCCTCAGGTTTGGATTAACAGCGCCCCCTGTCGACGCAGAGCCTCTAGGTCTAATTACAGACTGTTTAACTGTCTGAATTCGCTCATTGAGCTGTTTCTGATGTAGCCCTGTGCTAATTTTCACTCAAAATGGAAAAAAAAGTAACTCATGATTAGTGTGAAGATGCTGTTCCTGTTTATTTACACTGCCGAATCCATCATTGCGGATAGTCAGAATCATAACTAGTGAAAGTATGATGGGGTGTGGTGGGGCAGGAGGTTTGTTTGCCAGGTGGGCCACTGGGGGCCCAGCGATTGGTTAAGGGCAGCCGTGACCCCTTCAGCCCCCCCTTGATGGCGCCAGTGTCTCTGGGCTAGCTGAGTGACAGTATTTTTCCACCAGCTGGTGCACAGTGATGGATCAAAAGTCAGTACATTTTCATGGACGTTTACTTAATATAACCAGGAACATAAACTAAGAAGATATAAAAAAGGTCCATTTTGATTTCAGGTCAGACTTTAAATGGCTCCTCTAATCTAAAAGCACTGAAGGCTGTGCAGGTGCATAGTTTCACCACTAGATGGACTAACAACAGTGTTTCTCTTCATCAAGCACTTTTATATATATATAGTACTGAAGCAAAGTGGGGACAGTGGCATTAATATTAGTAATCATTAGCAATCATCAAAGTGATTAAAGATAAAAGAATGCATTTACATCCTGAACACAGAACAGCATAAAATATCACATCAATTAACACTGCTGCTGTATTTTTGAGAGCTTTTTAAACTCAAGTTATAGGAGTTTAAAACAGCACCTCATGACGTCAGTGAATGCCAGCAGCCAATGAGCAACCAATCAACACTCTGTAGCAGTAATGCTAACGTCCTGAGGCCCAAAACCCGTTTGCTGTAGAAAAAAGGAAACATACAGGTGAATTTTCTTTGCATTTTTAGTGAAAAACATCCCTCTGCTTCATAAAATTAAAGAAACGTTCTGGGCGAGTGAATAGAAACTATTTTAACTTTTCAGTTTTAGTTGTTTAGCTCCATTCGCCCCATTCATAGGACACGCTCGCGGGCGCCCTCTGCTGTTTTGCAGTCCTGTTTTTGATATAACAGGGAAATAGGAAGAGGGCAGACTCCTCATAAACTTGCTCTGCATCGGTCCACTTGTGCTACTTGTGTCTACTTTTTGGATTATTCTCATCCTTGTGTTTTGTCTGCTGAGTGTTTATTACTAAATCTATATAACTATACACATTATGTATATATATATATATATATATATATATATATATATATACACATATATATGTATATGTATATGTGTATGTATATATATATATATATATATATATATATATATATATATATATATATACATACACACACACACATATGTTATCATGGCTAAGTGATGTCATAATTAGGGGTATGACATCACTAAAGCTTGACTCTACAGTTACCATGGCAATGGAAGGCTTCATTCCGACGTCACAGTTCTGATTCTACTGCAGGCGACACTTCTTTACTCACCTGAGTGCTGAAGAGACGCGTTTCCGAAACCAGAGCAGATATTTTGGAGCAGACTTTGAACTGAGAACGGTACGTATGTCAGTGTGTATCTTCTATCAGGGCAATGTCTTGAAGAATCATATAACACAATAATAATAATGATAATAATAATAATAATAAAAATAATAATAATAATAGTAATGTCACAAAATGCTTTTTTGAGTTGACCGTGGATAACTGGATTTAGTGCAGTTTGTAAAATACTGCATAAAATTGTAGTTGTAAGTTTATTATTATTGTTCTTATTATAGCTTGTTTATGTGGCTTTACGGGTTCTATTTTGTCTGTTCCAACTTATTCAATCACAGAAAAACCAAATATTGTGATGGGTATCTTGTATCTTGACAATGTTTTGAAGTATCGTATAACATAGTAATAATAATAATAATAATAATAATAATAATAATATATTTTCCATATTGCTCTCCCCTAAGTTGTTTTTCTCAATGCAACATAAATAAATGTTGTTCTATTTTGATATTGGAGCAGAAATGAGCTCGCTGGTTGCAGCACCCCGAGGTTTTCATTTAAATGGTTAATACTGTGGTTTTGTCTTCTAAATCCAGAAGCTCCAAAGAGATGAACCAGGAGCGAGAGTGGCTTCACCCACCCAGTCCTCCCACAGCCTGTGGGTGCTGGGGGGGCAGCTGCTGGCCAAAGCTGACCCTCTTCAGCAGAGAGGACAAACTCCTGGAGAGGTGGAGACAGCAGGAGAGTCTCCGACAGCTTCGGAGAGAGATAGAGAGAGAGAAGGAGCTGAAAGAGAGGGAGCAGAAGAGAGAGAAGAAGGAGAAGAGGAGGAGGAAGCTGGAAGAGAAGAGGAGGCAGCGAGAGAGGGAGAGGCAGAAGGAGATAGAAATGGTTCAGTGGAGGCTGCAGATCATGATGGAGCGAGAGAGAGTGGAGGAGGAAGAGAGGCAGGAGCTCCAGAGACTCAGAGAGCTGGAGAAGGAACTGCAGCTGAAAGAGCTGAGGGAGAGAGAGAAGGAGAGAAAGGAGAGAAAGGAGAGAGAGCGCCAGCCGTCCACTAGAAAGGTAGGACTCATGATCTCATTCATCACAGTGTTAGTGATTAGAGAGTGTTTAGTCATCAGTGAAAGGTTCTGTTATTGATTAGTGACAGTTTATTAGTTATATTAGTGAAATATCTTACAGTGAGGATTTTAGTCATTCATATGATGAACTTCAGTGGAGCTTTTCAGGTCTGTTAAAGTGTGTGATCAGTGTTTGATTGATCGGCTCTTTCTCCTCTTTATTGACTGATGGAGTCAGAAAAGAAGGAGAGGTTCAAGAAGAAGTGAAAAGAGAGGCTGCAGTTCAGCTGTGATGAGTTCTAGACTGACTGTGTGTGAAAGACTCATCACTGGATCTCCGCAGTTCTTTAAATGTAGTGAAAGGCTGCATCACTTTGAGAAACGCTGCATTGGCTACTGCAGAGAAAGTCAGCCCAACACAATGAAGCACAGTAGAGATGAACTGATCCCACTTTTTCTTTCTCTATATCATTTTCAATGCCTGAACTCAGGATATCGGCCGATTTTCATATAATGTGCTTTTACAGTTGAAGAGTTCACACTAAAACATGATCTGTATATTTTAAGATTTTTTTTATAATCAAACATATTTAACCATGTTCTTCTAATTTATTTTAAGGCTACGAAGTCTAACTGATCACTGTAGACATCTTAACTATCACCTTATTATCACCTGATTATCTAAAAACTATGAAAATCTTTAAAAAAAAAGCTTTAATTTTTCAGTCAACATTAAACTGATGAAAATGTGAAAAGAATCAGAAAAGCCTTCCTGCACATTCAGGGCTGTACAGTGTGATAGAGACTGATTAAAGAGATCATAGATAGATAGATAGATAGATAGATAGATAGATGGTCTTGGTCAGGAAAGTGTTCTTCACAGACTGTGTGTGTTGTGTGTCTAAAGGCCCTGAGAGAGAGCATCAGGGAGGGAGAGATCAGAGGAATGGAGGAGATTTTGAGAGAGCAAGAGATGGAGATCCTGAGATGCAGAGAGAGACGCAACCAGCTGAAAAGAGAGGTGCAGAAGATGAAGGAGAAAATAGCAGAGGAGGAGAGGAATCATCTGGACGCTGAGGGAGAAAGGCTGCTCCTCCTGAAAGAGAGAGAGATGGAGGGTTTGAGAAGGAGAGAGAGAGAGGAGGCTCTGAAAAGAGAGAGAGAGAAAATAAAGGAAAAAATGGCTTTCAAGGAGGAGAAGTTCAGCGTGCTGAGAGAAACAGAGAGAAAGAGGGAGAATCTGGAAGCCAGACAGACAGAGGAAGAAAGGAACCAGGAGGGAGAAGAGCTGATGATTCTGCGAGAGAGACAGAGAAAGACGGAAAGAGAGAAAGAGAGAGAGGAAGAGTTAAAGAGAGTGCAGCATGAGTGTGAACAAAAGGAGAGGGAGCAAATGAAGAAAAGAAAGAGGGAAGAAGAGATGAAAAGAGAGAAAGAAAAGCTGGAAGAACTGGAGGAGTCGTGCAGAAAGATGGAGAGAGAGATGGAGATGGTGAGAAAGGCGGCGAAAGAGAGAGAACTGGCCGTGCTGAAAGAAATGGAGAGAAAGAGAGAGAGAGAAAGAGGAGAGATGGAGAGAGAGCTGATGGAGAGGCAGATACGAATGGAAAAGGAGGTGCAGGAGCGAGTGAGAGAAACAGAGATGGAAAGAGAGAAACAGAAAGAGTTTGAGAGAGAGAGAAAGGATCAACAGATGGAGGTGGAAGAGAGACTGAGAGAGATGGAGAGAAAGATGGAGGAGGAAAATGAACTGACTCTGAGAAGAGAGGAGGAGAAATGGAGAGAAAGAATGGAAAAACTTGAGGAAGAGTGGCAGCACAGATGTCAGGAGATGGACAGAAAGAAAGAGGAAGAAATGTGCCTTACGAAAGAGAAAGCCCAAGAGATGGAGAGACTGATGTCTGAAGAAAGAGAAAAGGAGAAGACAGAGAATGAAAAACAGAGGGAGTTCGAAAAGCTGGAGAAAGAGAGAGCAGAAAAGGAAAGAATGGAGGAGGAGAAATGCATGAAAACCCAGATGGAGGAGCAGCGAAAGGCTGAACGAGAGAAACAGCAGAAAGAGTGGAGAGAGGCGGAGAGCAGGAGAGAAAGTGAGAGAAAGAAAGAAGAAGAAAAAGCAATGGACATGGATAAAGAAAAGGAAGAAAAAGAAACAGACAAGCTGGAGAAAAAGCTTGAAGAAAGGAAGATGGAAAAGCGGAGAAAGCTGAAGGAGAAACAAGAGAAGCTGGAGAGAGAGAAAAGGATGATAGCAGAAAAGAAGAAAGAGAAGGAAGAAAAGATGAGAGAGATGAAAAGACAGCTGGAGGAGAAGAGAGAAAAGGATGAAAATAGAAAGAAGAGAGAATGTAAAGCAGCAGAGCTGGAGTTTACTTTTAATCTCAGAGATGAGGAGAGAACATTTAAGAAAGAGGAGGAGGAAAGAGAGAAAGAGATGGAGAGAGAGGTGGAGGAAGGAGAGAAAGAGATGGAGAGAGAATTGGAGGAAAGAAAGACAGAGATGGAGAAAGAGAGAAAGAAGACTGAACAAATGAGGAGAGAGAAGGAAGAACATGTAAGGGACGTGTTGAGACGCCTGGAAGAAGAGAGAGAAACAACAAACCTGAAACATGAGGAAATCAGGAAAGACCAAGAAATGGAGAAGGAGAGAGAGGAGGAGAAAGAGAGGAAGGGGCAGGGAGACGCCACCTGCAGGAACAGCTGGGGAGAAGAAGATAAGGATGAAGGAGATACAGGGATGGAAAGAACGACAGAGGGCAATAAAGAAAAACAGGCTGATACGGAACAAGAACAAGTTCTAGATATGGAGATGCAGAGAGAGATGGAGAAGGAGGAAACAGAGGAGCAGAGAGAGAAGGAGGGACAACAGAAAGAGAGCAGCGAGAGAGAGCTGGAGATCGAGAGAATAAAGGAGGCGAGGCGTCAACACATGGAGAAAGAAATGAAGAGGAAAAAAGAACTGATGAAGAAACTCTTTTCTCCAGGAGTGAATATGTTCAGGCCAGAGAACCAGGTTCAGCGCAGAGGTTTGGGAGGAAAACGGAGGAACCTGAAGGAGGCCTCAAACAAGGAGGAGGAGCAGGCTGAGCTTGAAGGACAAGAGGACCCTCAGAGATATAGCTGGCCTGTTTCTCCAAACGGAGGACCACTGGTCATCTCCATAAAACCCTGCAACCCAATCCTGGAGGAGCCTGAACTATCTGAACCCTCCCCAACTGACCCCCCCACTGACCCCCACACAGAGGACACTGTGGGTGGAGATAAAGGCTCTGTGGTGGAGGAAGCCGTCCTCAAGCCTGAGGGTTTCATTGAGTCACAATCAAAAGAGGCTCTCAATGAAGCAACGGAAAAGGCTTCACCCACCGAGACTGACCACCCAAAAGATGGACCCACATCCCCTGAGACGATGGATGAGGCCGACCATGATGCTGGAACTGGGAAACAGGCCGAGAACAAGAACCAGTGGATGAGTATCTTTGGCTGGATTAACCAGAAGGTCAAAGAGAAACACGAGAAGTCCATCGAGAAGAGCTTCAAGAGGGAGGCGGAATATGGACACAAGCATATTGGTAAGTTTCAGCAAGTTATTCTATATACTTCACTGTAGAACCTCGTATGATCAGATAAAGCCGTCCTAGAGAATAGATTTCAACCAAATATCAGTGTTCATGTTTAATATCAGCACAAGCTTAAAAGTCTTGAGTTATTCTTGCCATTTTGCTGCACCTTTGATTTGGATTTATTATTTGTGTGCATTTAAATAATAATAGTTACACAGGCAGTTTTGTAATGAATTCCAATTAGATTCATGTTGCATATCTACAATTTTTACTCAGCATTTCTGACATTTATCAGTTTGTTTTGATATCAAAAAATGACAGAAAACTGGCAAATATGTAAATAAATGTTTTATCTTCCCACAAAATAAGAATGTACACACGACAGTAACGTTTCCTCAGCGTGAGACAGGTTAACGTATGAAAATGTGGCTGCAATTCAGTACTTTTTTTAACATGCTCTCACCTGAATCCACTCGCCAGTCGGATGTGCGTCACTCCCATGTTACACAGGTGTCCACTGGCGACAGAACGGTGAGGAGAACGTTACTCAAATGGAAAGCACGCCCCCTCAGCTGGGTTAGCTTCAGTGAGCTGATCGGTTAGCCATGCTAAATGTTTTTTTGAGAAGGGAACATAATATATATAAGATTTATTTTCCCAGGGTCTTATATTTCCTCACTGAAATTTTATATGGAAATAGAGCTATGTTTTCTGTGTTGCCTCAATCATTTCTTCAACACAAATATAAAAGTAACCTCTGTACTTGTGGTGTATTTACAAATATACACAATATGATGTTAAATGTTCAGCAAAAAAAAAAATCGAAATTAGTTATTTATGTACATTCTGCTTCTAAATAGATTCACTTATTAAAGCATGCTCTGACTGAACTTTACTAAACATTACCAAAGTTAGTATTCGTGCTAACAATGGAATCTTTGAGCTCATCCTCAACATCTACCATCCATTTCAGTGTTGTTTTTAACATGCTCTTAGTAACTTGCCCTCACCATTTCCTTTCATACCATATCAAATTTTTACTGACTTCTCGTCAAGTTGTGCTGCTGAAATGAACGTTTGTGTTCACTCGATCCCTCGCTCTTCCGAGGGCTCACTAATAAACTTCACTTGAGCTAATAAAGTAATGAACGGGTCTTAAGCTGACACCAGGGATTCCTTCAAAGGGTAGATGACAAGGACGAGTGGACGAGGGCTGGTTAAAACCGGTATTGAAACAGGTGGCGTGTCTTTAAAAGAGAGAGTAGAGGTTCTGTATTACTATCAACTCTTCCTCTCCAAACAGGATGTCCTCACGGAGTGATCATAATGGCACAGTATGAGCAGGCCAAAAGGGAGAGAGTGCAGATGAAGGAGAAGAGGAGGCAGGCACTGGAGGCCAGATTAAGAGGATGGGCGGAGAACAGGGCTGAGAAGAAAGCTAGGAAAGAGGAGAAGAAAAAGGAAGAGAAAAAAGAGATGATGGCACCGAGAAGACCCCTTGCTATGCGCTTCGCCCGGTAGACTTTAAGGTAACATATTTCTACATCATAAAGTTCAAAATATTTGAAGCCAAATGATATAAATTTAAAATGATTTCATTCAGTGAAAACATCTTATCACCTGAAGAGTCTTCGCTAATGAGAGATGACATCACCATTTCCTAGGTTAAAAAGGTGACTTTCACGAAGAAAAATTGCCAAGCTTATTTGTTCATATCTTTTTTTAATACACGCTGGGTTAGCATGAAAACTAAAAGCTATTGCACAGTGCTTTGTAAATAGTATCATCTATAGGAATATTAGCTTAGCCTATTCTAGCTAATATTGGCTACACTCGTTTGCCTTCATTTGCACGCTGTACTACTAACATATACAACTCCCCCACGAAAAGTCATCCGCCATGCATCAAGAAAAAATTACATCATATAAGCTTAACAATCATATTGAAGTAGTTCACATAATAGCAAAACAGAGTCAGAGTGCTCGCTCTTTTAGCAAATGCCTGTAAGCCTTAGCTCTCTGAGTGTGACTATTGCCGTTTTTAGACTATTTTTTACATCATCTATAAAGCTTTGACACATTTTATTTTGGTAGGTATGAAGATAGAGAGTCGAAGTTCGGGTTAAATTACAGTGAAGTCATAAGAAAGTGATGTAAATACTAAGAAGTTTAAATATTAAGAAAATATCCAATAAGTTATTTTTTATTGAAATTGTTTTAGATGCACTCATCAAACTGTACTTCTGATTGACTGTCAGAATTGGAAAAAACTGTGGAAGAACTGAAGCAGCACAAACGAGGCCAAGACTGGGAGACTTATGGAAGCCCTTATGACAAATGCATTACATTTCAACGATATGCAGATGGTAAACCCACACACAGGTCCATTTCAAATTACACTAAAATGCACCTATTCCACTCAAACAGCAGACACGTTTTCCTTAATGTACATTTCTATTATGTCCTGCACCCAAACTAATTAGATGTTCTTTGGAAGCTAAGAAGTTTCCATTCAGTTAACTGCATCACATCACAAACTGGACTACTGAAAAGTAGTCAAGGCAGGTGATTCAATTCTAAAGTTTCTGGTTTTAAAATGTCGTGTTTCTTTCTCATCTTTCAGCTCACACCACTAACCTCAGCACCTCCTCAGCAGTAACACCACTGATCTCTGCACCTCCCAGCAGAACTGCCACTGATCTCTGCACCACTGACCTTGGCATCTCCTCCAGTGAAAAGAACACTGACCTTAACATCTCCTCCAGTGCTAAGGACACTGACCTCAGCAATTCCTCCAGCAGTAACACCACTTATTTTTTCATCTCCTCTAGCAGTAAAACCACTGACCTCTGCAGCTCCTCCAGTAGCAAAACCACTGACCTCTACACTTCCTCCAGCGATAACAGCATTGACCTCCACAGCTCCTCCTCTAGTGGTTGCACCATTGACCTCTACATCTCCTCCAGCGGTAACATCACTGACCTCTACACCTCTTCCAGTGGTAACACCACTGACCTCTGCAGCTCCTCTAGAAGTAACATCACTGACCTCTACACCACTTTAAGTGGTAACACCACTGATCTCCACTCCTCTTCCAGCAGTAACACCACTAATCTCTGCATCTCTTCCAGCAGTAACACCGCTGACCTCTGCATATCCTCTAGAAGTAACACAAATAATCTCTACATCTCCTTCAGTGGTAACACCATTTGACCCCCACACCTCCTCCAACAGTCACCCCACTGACCTCTACATGTCTTACAACAGTAACACCACTGACCTCTGTACCTCCCAGCAGAACTGCCACTGACCTCTGCACCTCCACTAGTGGTAAGACCACAGACCTTCATATCTCCTCCAGTGCTAAGAACACTGACTTCAACAATTCCTCCAGCAGTAACACTGCTTATTTTGCATCTCCCCTAGCAAGAAACCAGTGACCTCTGCAGCTCCTCCCGTAGTGAAACCACTGACCTCTACACTTCCTCCAGTGGTAACAGTATTGACCTCCACCAGTGGTTACACCACAGACCTCCACAGCTCCTCCACCAGTAAAATCACTGACCTCTGAATCTCCTCCAGTAGTAACACCACTGATCTCTACACCTCTACTGACAGTAACACCACTGATCTCTGTATCTCCCAGCAGAACTGCCACTGACCTTTGCACCTCTACCAGAGGTAACACCACTGACCTTCTTGTGTCCTCCAGCAGTAAGAACACTGACCTTCACATCTCTTCCAGTGGTAAGAACACTGACCTCAGCAATTCCTCCAGCAGTAACATCACTTACTTTTGCATCTCCTCTAGCAGTGCTACCACTGACCTCTGCATCTCCTCCATTAGTGGAACCACTGACCTCTACACTTCCTCCAGCAGTAACAGTATTGACCTCCACAGCTCCTCCACCAGTAACACCACTGACCTCCACAGCTCCTCCAGCAGAACTGCCACTGACCTTTGCACCTCTACCAGAGGTAACACCACTGACCTTCTCATGTCCTCCAGCAGTAAGAACACTGACGTTCACATCTCTTCCAGTGGTAAGAACACTGACCTCAGCAATTCCTCCAGCAGTAACATCACTTACTTTTGCATCTCCTCTAGCAGTAAAACCACTGACCTCTGCATCTCCTCCATTAGTGGAACCACTGACCTCTACACTTCCTCCAGCAGTAACAGTATTGACCTCCACAGCTCCTCCCAGTAACACACTGACCTCCACAGCTCCTCCAGCAGAACTGCCACTGACCTCTGCAGCTCCTCCAGTAGTGAAAACACTGACCTCTACACTTCCTTGATCGGTAACAGCATTGACCTCCACTCCTCTTCCAGCAGTAACACCACTAACTTCTGCATCTCCTCCAGCAGTAACACCATTAACCTCTACACCTCTTCCAACATTAACACCACTCATCTCTGCACGTCCCAGCAGAACTGCCAATGAATTCTGCACCTCCACTGACCTTCACATCCCATCCAGTGCTAAGAACACTGACATCAGCAATTCCTCCAGCAGTAACACTGCTTATTTTGCATCTCCTCTAGCAGTAAAACCACTGACTTCTGCAGCTCCTCCAGTAGTGAAACCATTGACCTCTACATATCCTCCAGTGGTAACAGCATTGACCTCCACAGCTCCTCCACCAGTGGTTACAGCCTTGACCTCCACAGCTCCTCCAGTAGTAACACCACTGACCTCTACACCTTCTCCAGTGGTAACATCAATGACCTCTACTCCTCTTCCAGTGGTAACACCATTGACCTCCACACCTCTTCCAGCAGTAACACCACTGACCTCTGCATATCCTCCAGAAGTAACACAACTGATTTCTACACCTCCTTCAGCGGTAACATCATTTGATCCGCACACCTCCTCCAACAGTAACATCACCGACCTCTACACCTCTTCCAATAGTAACACCACTCCTCTCTGCACCTCCCAGCAGAACTGTCACTGATCTCTACACCTCTGTCAGAGGTAACACCACTGACCTTCTCCTCTCCTCCAGTAGTAAAAACACTGACCTCAGCAATTCTTCCAACAGTAACACCACTTACATTTGCATCTCCTCTAGCAGCAAAACCACTGACCTCTGCAGCTCCTCCAGTAGTGAAACCACTGACCTCTTCACTTCCTCCACTGGTAACAGCATTGACCTCCACAGCTCCTCCACCAGTAACACCACTGACCTCCGTGTCTCCTCCAGCAGTAACACCACTGACCTCTGCATCTCCTCCATCGGTAACATCACTGACCTCTACACCTCTTGCAGTGGTAACACCACTGACCTCCTCCAGCAGTGACCATCCTATCCCATTGACTTCTGAAGGTAAATTTAAGAATGAACTCAATACAATCATAGGCTGTGTTTTACTTATTTCAGAACATGAATGTCATATTTAACAAAACCCAGATTTAACTTAAGCTTTATTTACAAACACAGGTGAACGAAGTTCCCATCCTGAACCCCCAGCTGGTGTAGCATGATCAGAAGGTTCACTGGAGAGACTGTCTGGAGCTTCGCAAAAGATCCTGAACATTTCTGACAAAAGAAGTCCAGAAAAACAACACACTATATGTCAGAATGTGACTAAAATCAATAAACTCTTTCTCCTCATAAACAAAACTCTGACAGAAATTAATCAAACATCCAAAAACCAGCTACCAAAATTAATAATACCGTGGTTTAAAAGTATGTCTGTGTTTTGTACAAGATATGATGTGACATAATAACTTAAAAAACATGCAATGATGTTCAGTCATATTTTAATGGCCCAGGCATGTGGTTGACCTGCCCAAGGTTCATGCATGTTCTCAGGTGGTGGAATAGTATCTGAGAGGGGCACGCTGTTTGATTAGATTAGATTAGAATTGATTCGATTTTTACTTTCTTGGTACCAGAGGGAAATTAAATCATGAGGACACTCACAGACATAAAGACAGATTTACTGTAACCCAGCATTATATTATTTTATTATATTGTATTAACAAATATTTATGAGCTATTTCCATACAGATATGTATTAGGATAAAACAAATGGGTACAAAATTTTACTAGTCATTTCATCAACTAACAGACAGTGTGGATAGATAATGTTGAGTCTCTCATACAGGCTAGTCAGTTATCTTACCATGTAGCATTGCTAACTGGCTATCTGGCTAGTTAGGTTGTGTTTAGCAAACAGTAAAACTAAGAAAAGTGTGATTTTTTTAAGGATATGTTTGACAACATTCACAAATACTGAACAGATCAACTTAGGATCTACCTAAAGCGTATCTAGTTAGCATGCTAGCTTAGTAGTACTTTTCACAGCATGATGAGCTGCTTGTCCAGGGTAGCCAATAGTTGCTGATCCTGGATAGTCAATAAATGAATGTGTTAATCTGAGATAGCAAATTAATCCTTTTATTGACAGTATTGATCCTGGAAAGTCATTAATCCTATTACTGATTAATCCTAGATGTCAATTAATCTAGTTGATGACTAGAATTGTTGAAGGGTCAATACAGTCATAAACTGTTACGATCCATTTAATGACTATATTGATTCTGGATAGCCGGTTAGTCATATTATTGACTGTGTCGATCCTGGATAGCACTTTAATCCTGTTACTGATGCTATTGATCTTGGATAGCCGGTTACTTGCTTGATTGATTGTGTTGATCCTGGATAGCTAGTTAATCTAGTTCATGACTGTACTGATCCTGGATAAGAACTTAATCCAGTTAATGACTGTATTGATCATGCATAGAAAGGTAATCCATTTCATGATTGTATTGATCCTGGATAACCAGTTAGTCATATTATTAACTGTTTTGATTTTGGATAGTTAATCCAATTCATAGCTGTATCCATTGTGGATAGCCAGTTAGACCTATAATTGACTGTTTTAATCCTTGTTAATGAGTTAATCCAATTCCTGTCTCTATTCACCCTGGATAGCCAGTTAGTTATATTATCAATTGTATTGATCATGGACAGCCAGTTAATCTAGTTCATGACTATTGATCCTGGATAGCAATTTAGTCTTGTTACTAATGGTGTTGATCCTGAATTGCCAGTTAATCTTGTTAATGACTGTATTGATCCTGGTTAGCCATTTAATCCTGTTACTGATAGTGTTGATCCTGAATAGCCAGTTACTTGCTTTATTGACTGTTTTTTTTCTGGATAGCCATTTAATTTAGTTCATGACTATGCTGAGCCTGGATAAGCAGTTAATCCAGTTCATGACTGTACTAACCCTGGATAAGCAGTTAATCCAGTTCATGACTGTATTGATCCTGGATAACCAGTCAGTAATATTATTGACTGTTTTGATCTTGTTTAACCAATTAATCCAGTTCATGGCTGTATCCATTCTAGATAGCCAGTTAGTCTGTTGGTTCTAGATTCAGGTGGTCAAATGATTTGTGTCCAAGTATTAAAAATGACAAAAAAAGCTCAAAATGATAAAGCTGAAAATCTGCACTTTGAGCTTAGAATCAAACATTTTTAAAACTCCAGTATATTAATATGATATATGATAAAAATAACCTTGTTGACATCGAAATATTTATAAACTTGACTCTATATCAGTGGAAATATACATACGTTTAACATCTCTTCATTCAATTGCCAGCCAAAGCATTCTTGTTTAGAATATGCATACAGCCCTTACCTTAAATAGAAAATATTGTGCATTTGCTACGTTAAAAAACATAAGGCTAATCAGTTCAAAAAGTGTAAGGAAAACCCAGGGATATCATAAAATGTTGCAGTTTTATCAGTAAAAACTGTTGAGAGAAATAATTGTAGGATTAATTGTAGATGTTTTAGGAAGACCTAGAGGATGGCTAACACATGCATTCCATTTTACATTGATAAGCTATAATCTCTGACTACATGATGATGATTCTATTGATAAGCTATAATCTCTGACTACGTGATGGATGTATTCTGATCAAGCATAATGGTATCATGTGTTTTCTTGGGTATTTAATTATTTGTACAGATTTGATCACATTCCTAGTGGAATGATGATTGTGAAGACATCGCTCCAGTC